AAAAGGAGATAGTAATTAAAAAAGCATGCTATTCTAAGTAAGTACTTTAAATAGCTCTTATTAAGTTTTTTTAGCTTATATCTTCTAGTACTTGATTATACTATTTTTCTATTAAATATAATTAAGAAGATTAGTAATAGTAGAATATAAGATAAATAGTTTATAAAGTTCTTCTATAATAGTAATAAAGAACTAGTATATCTTAGTAATATATTATTTTAATTTATTAGGGGTATTATACAGGAGGGTTTCCATACCTTTAGATAGTATAGGTAGTAAGGTAGGCATGATAATAGTAATTAACTCCCAGTAGAGAGAAGCTACATAATATCAGGGGGTAGAGTTAGATTCAGATATTTATTAACTAGGAACTAACTAGATAGAACAGCAGAACAGTAGGTATCAGGTAATAGACAGGACATAGCTTGAAGAACTATAACAGGATTAAGAACAATATGGCTTAAATACAGGAATAAGGGCAGACAGTCAAGGCAGAATCTAACTAGATAGGTACTACAGCTTCGCGCCGTGACACCTCCCTATATTATTTCCTTATAATATAGATTATCTCTAGCTTTTCTAGTATAAAAGCTACCTTATTCTAGTTACTCTAGGCTAGTACTCCCTAAATATCTACCTTTAGGTGCCTATAGTTATCCTCTAGTATCTAAGTAGCATAACTTAGGTAGAGATTATTAGTATATTTAAAATAGAGGGTTATATCTTGTAGGAGTAGTTTTATTATATAAAATAGAAAGAGAACTAAAGATAAAGGTAAGCCCTATAATATCTTATAAAATACTAGATTTACTCCTATTAATATTACCTCTAGTTAGATCCTAGTAAGCCTACTAGTTAGGAAGCTATTAATAAGGGTAACTAGGGCCTAGAGTTACCCCTACTTTATTATTTATCTTAGTAATCTATACTATAGGAGAGTATTAAAGGCCTTTAATATATTTATTATAACTATAGTTACTTTCTTATTCTAAGTAAGGGCTATTTTTATATTATATATATAGACTATAACTAGGTCTATAGTAAAGTATTAGGAAAGTATACTATATTATTATAGGCTTAGGACCCTATATATAAGTACTATATATATAATTTTCTAGGCTATTATCCTTTCTAAGCCTTTACTAATTATTAATAGTAAGATAATTAATCTCTAAGATTTAAGAAATATTCTATCTTATTTACTTATTTTAAAAAGTATAATTACCTCTATAATCTTTTATAATATAGGAAAGTAGTTTAGCTATAAATACTTATTATATAATTTATATATTATCTTATCTATAAATTTTTAGCAGGCTTTTAAAATTTATATTATAACTATATTTTTTCTAGAAAAGATACTACTTACCCTAATTATATTTTTTTTAATCTCCTTCTCTAATATTCTCTCTTTCTAAGAGAGGTACTTATTTCTAGTCTAGTAAGTTTCTACTATAAAGTTAAACTCTAGATTATCTATTAAGTTAAATTATCTAAAAATAGCCTACTAGAGGATTTTAGTCTTCTCCTAGGTATTCTTAATTATATAGCTATTTATCTAGAGGAGTAGTATCTTTATCCTAGGTTCTAATTTATACTAGGCTATAATCTAATAGAATTTCTTATTACTACTAACCCTATTAATAATACCTGCCTAATATTAATATTTAGCTTTCTAAATTATATTCTAGAAGTATTTCCTCCCTTCTAGGCTTAACTCTACTAGCTACCTGCTATAGGAGTCTACACACTCTACTATTTACTAGGGGGTGGCCTTCTAGTCTAGGTTAAAGAGTTTCCTAACTATCTTAATAACTTCCTAGAGTATCTCCCCTAGGTCCCTTATATACTAGTCTAATACTAGTCTGTCTAGTAGGCTTTCTAGATTTAGGAGACCTGTTATCCTATTTTATACTAGTCCTGCTAGTTATTTTAGGTCCCTATCTAGGATCTAGAGTTATTACCTTTCTAGGGATATAGGCTTGTACCCTAGAATTATAGTAATCTATATCTAATAGTCTAAGCTATAATATAGGTCTAGGTAGACCTCCATGCATGTAAAGGCTATATTAGAGAAGGTTAGGTCTAGAATATATCCTATTATATAAGTAGCTACTCCTAACTTCTCTATATATCCTATTTTATTATTAACTATTTATTATATAAGCTCCCCTCCCTTATAGAGATTCTATACTTCTAGTTTAAAGATATTATATATAATATTAAAGTTACTCCTTATAATATAGTTAGGAATAAGAATTAATATTACTATATAGTCTACTACCTTATATATAGTAGGTTCTTAATATATATTTAGTACCTAGATATTATTTACTATTATTTAGAGCAAGTTCTAGCTCTTAATTAGTTTATATTATTCTACTCTCAGGCCTGGGTCCTAATATATATATATAAGTATCCTAGATTATTCCTTTATCTATCTTTCTAGGTCCCTCTAGCTATTAACTAAGAAGTAATAATTAAATATTAGATAATTCTATATCTTGGTTCCTAGGCCTGTCTATAGTTCTTATATATAGATTATAGTATAGCCCTACTTATAAGCTAGCTATAAGATTATAATATAATTTAATATTAATCTACTAATATTAGTCTAGTAGATTAAGAAATTCTACTAATACTAGGTCTATTTTATATAGTTCCTACTATATCTTATCCTAGGTCTCCCTAATATTAGATATTAAATAATTTATTAATATTAGTCTCTGTCCCTAGAATCCACACACTTACTATTTACTTAAGGCTTAGAAAGATATAGAGGCTCTAGATAAAGAGCTCTTTTAAATTTATATTATCTATATATATAATAGCCTAGGCTAAGTACTATCCTATAATTTAAAAGCCTTCTATATTTATATCTAATTATAGGGGCGCTTCTACTACATACTTATAAAAATTTAGAGATTAGGCCTTACTTATCTTTATATATAGCTATACTATTATTACTATCTAGTTATAGGTATTCTAGAAGGTGCATATCTTATAGTATCTAATATATATTAGGTCCTATTTAAATAGTTTAATAAGAGAATTATTAACCTTATATAGGATTATAGGGTAGCTCTTATATCCTGCCTTAAATAATCTAAAGTAGTTAATATAGTAGAGAGGGTTACTATAATTTAGTCCTATAGGCCTGGCATGGTCCTTAGTTAGTATACTATACTAGATATAATAAGGCTATCTTATATATCTTAGAAAGTAATAGTATTCTTAATATCTTAAGTTATATTACTTTATAGGGGCCTGCTTCTTAATAAATTAAGATTACTAGTTATTATTAAATAGGGTAAAGTTCTTAGCAGGTATTAAAAAGGAGATTATCTAAATTATATACCTTATCTATATATTTAGCTTATATCTTAACAGGTAGTAGTTAACTAGCTTTATATCTATTTATACTAATATCTTATCTACTATTAGTATACCTATCTCTAGATATATACTATTATAGAATACTATTATACTAAATACCCCAGGCATTATATAATTATATTACTTTTATAAAATATAGATATTAATTATATCTAGTACTTTCTTTATAATATTTATTACCTTCTTTATTACTAGAAGGTCCCAGGTAATAAGATTACTTAAGATAATTATTTATCTAGTCCTAGTTAGATTAATCTTAAATATTATATTAATAGTTATAAGTCCTAGAATATACTTTACTAGAGCTTAGTATATTATATAGGTTTTAAAATATATAAGAAGGAGCCTCCCTAGTAGGGTAATTAAGATCTTATAGTTATTCCTAATATTTATTAATATAGTTAACTTATTCCAGGCTAATCTTATTATAGTAGTAGGGCTAGTCCTACTTAAATTAGGTATAGGCTACCTAGTATTATATATTCTAGCTAGTATAGGTCCTCCCCCTGAATTTTTTGGGATCTATATGGTCCCCTAGGCTATAGACTTACTAGAGGTCTTGTCTAAGATTACTAATATTATTATTATAGGCTAACTATATATATATATAAGTATATAGTTATTTATAGTAGTATATTCTTTAATAATAATAAACTAGATAAATTTATTATAAATTATTATTATATAGGCCCTCTTATCCTAACTCTTTTAGGTATTAACTAGCTTGTCTATTATAATAGCTAGCTTAACTAGTATCTTATAATATGTCTTTACCTAGTATTCCTCTTTATTAAGATAACCCTAAAGAATTCTCGCGGTAGAGCCTAAATTAGTAGTTAAGGTGCTGGTACCTTTATAGACTAGGAGAGATATATAATTTAATAAGATATTTTTTTCTTTATATCTTTTAGTAATATATAAGTTTAAGGGGGATAGAGGTTCTTATAGTTATATAAAATTAGTTATATTAATACCTCTAAATAAGTAGTTGGGGGTCAGTACCTCTATCTTAGCTTGCCATGTATTAAAATATGGTTGGAGGAGGGGGGGAGGGGTAGAATATGTAATAGTAGGTTAGAAATATATATATTAGTTGGTTTTATAGTAATTTGGGCCCTTATTCAAAGGTACCCCTGGGTTGCTGAGTGTTGTAAAGGTGAAATGGTGAGATTAATTTCAGTTGCGTAGTGATTAGATTATTTATGTTGGAAAAGCAAAGTAGGTCGCGAGAGGAAAATATACTGGGAAAAGAAAAAGCAATCGATAATAACCCATCATTCATTACCCTCGATATAAATAGAGGCATTTGCTATACTGTATTACGAGGAGGGATATTATCCACACATGAAAAAGAAAAAAAAAAAAAATGAAGAAAACCAGTAAATGCAGGCCTTAGCATGAGTTAACAGGATTTGACCGAGATGGAACAGAAATGTACAGAGCGAGCCCCCCCCCCCCCCCCCCTATTGACTATTTGTTCGAACTTTCTGACCCCAGATTCAAGCAATTGTGGCGACTGTGCTCATCACCATCATCAACGGTGGCCAGGGATGGCTACTTCGTCGAATGGCGTTCGATTCCATCGAGACATAAGACTCAGCCACTTAGATGGCAACGGCAACAACAACGGCAGCAAGAGCACCGGCAGCATAGCTGAAACGCTCCTTGTTGGCAGCGCCAGTGAAGGAGGAAGAAGCTGCAGAAGAGGTAGAGCTGCCAGTGGGGGTGCTAGTAGGGTTGGAAGAGCCAGAGGCGCTAGAGCTGCCGGTGGGGATAACAGGAGAAGAGCTGGTGGTAGCGGTAGTGGTAGCACTTCCGGTAGTGCTCGTGGCGGTCTCGCTTTCAGTGGTAGCGGTTCCAGAGGCAGAGGCTGTGGAGGTGGAGGTGGAGCAGCCAGAGTCAGAAGCACCCTTGTAGGCATCAATACCCTTCTGGATACCAGCGGTGATGCCAGAGGAGAGTTCCTCAGCAATGCTGGAGAGAGCAGAGGGGACCTTAGCGGACAGGACCTTGGCGAGATTAGAGGCAGCAGTGTACTGGTCGTTGAGGGAAGTGAGGACCTGGCCGGCGGCGCAGGCAGCCTCAAACTTGGACTTCTTGTCGATGAGGTCAGAGACGACACCCTTGATCTGAGTGGTCAGGTCCTGGACGGGGCTGGTCAGGGCCAGGGCATCAGCGTTGGTAAGGTCAGCACCGCTCTTGATGGTGGCGACACCAGAGTTGGTGACGGTGATAACAGCATCAGAGGCGGACTGAACGGCAGAGGGGTCACCACCGCTATAGGCGGAAACAGCGGAGGCGAGATCAGAGACCTTGGCACTGATGGCAGCAAGCACGCTGGTGGGCGAGCTGTCACGCTCAATGAGAGAGGGCTCGCGAGCAACCTTGGTAGGGGTGGCCAGGGCAGCGGAGGCGAGGCCGAGAGCGAACAAAGCAGTGAACTTCATGGTGCCGGTGGATCGATGGTTGTTGATTATTATATATTAAATGTGTGGCTGTATATAAAGGGGGTTTGTAAACGAGTGTCCGGGACCGAAGCTTGTTAACGAAAGGACCAGCTGTACTGACTGAGAGATGAAGAAGAGGAATAACCTGGAGATACCCCGACTATATAACCACAAAGGCAGCCCTGGAAAATAGCTCACATGCACTAACTGGGGCCGAGGCGAGCTCAAATCAGGGGAAGCAAAAGCTGGCTTATGTTATTATTAGCATCTCATGTATTTGGTATCGGCCCTGATCAAGCGTTAGTGTGTTGTTGGAATCTTTGATGCTCCGCTATAGACGGGACTAGGATCCTAGCCTAGGGGAGGGATGATTCACTGTCACGATGCTTGTCATCCCATTCATATTCTATCAAGGTACTACATAGTATGCCTTGCGTCCAATGATCTGTGCGTTGGTCCAAATTGCACCCTCGACATTGGAGAAATGCATGTTTCTCTCGTACTCCGTATGTTCATCCCAGCATTTGTCCAAGCTACGCGTCCGCGATCTGCGTAGAGGGAATACGTACTCGCTCAAGAGCCAAGACAAACTAGCCCTAATTTATAAACAGGAAGTATTCATTGGCTGGGGTTAAGCCAGTGACAACACCACAGTCACCATCATCAGAAGCAAGAAGGACCAGCCTCGAAAGATATTTGACGGTGCAATCAAATTGCAGGCAGGCCAATCAATGTAACATCATCCTGCTTTTCCCGGGCCGCCCCCGGATTCTCATTTGTTCTTTCTTGGCTGGGGGTGAAGGAAGTCGTTTCTACATAGTACTCTGTAAGTTGTCGTTGGGCTCCACCACAGGGAAGCCGGAGTGAGACAACTGGAGAAGACACGGCATTTGGAAGGTTGCGAATGGAGAGAGACCTTGGATACCCCGCAGCCAAGGGGAAATAGTGCTGTACCAGGCTCATCTGGACCCCAGTCCACCACCGCGAATCATACAAGGGTTGAGCTAGTCGTCGCCGTCGACCACGGGGGCAAAAGTACGCTTGCTCCTGGCTGCTGCCGCCTCAATTTTTCTTTTTTTTTTTTTTGATTTTATAAGCAATCCTTTGGTTTGTGCTTGGACCTTCGTGCTACCACCTCGGAAGGAAAGTTCCAAACTGGGAAATGCGCCTGACATTCAGCCTTCACTTGTCTCCTGGATGGACTCACCTCCGGGTGAGTTTTATAGACACGATCTGATCCGTCTTTGCCCTCTCTGGTCCTTGGCAAAGAACATCTGCCCTGCTTAGCCTACAGAACTACTAATCCGTGCTGGAGCCCACATGGTGAGAGTCAAGGTTGCTCTTCCAAGGTTCTCACGCACGAGTCTCACCAGCAAAGAAGCCGAATTAGCTCGCTGTACTCCGTAGCCAAGATACGAAGCCGTCCGAGCGTTTTTTAGTTTGCTTGCACATTATTGTTGGTAAGAGAAGACTAATCTCCGTCCCTCGACAATCTCGCGGGCTCTTCCGCACCATCTCCAAAACCACGCGGGAAATCACTCATTTCGTGTCAGGAATTTATTCTAAATACGAAGTATACCAAGGGCGCATTATTAGCCAGCTGCCAGCCAACGATCTTTGCCTGGTGTGAAAAGCCTCAGAAGACGGCGGGTGCCGATCTGTACCTGACAGGAAATTGATGCTCGGATGTCCCACTTGAGGGGCCTGGACGGCATACAGAGTAGTAGTAATGTGAACTCCGGCCACGTCTAGCGCAGCCTTTCCGGATCAGGGGCAATTTTTTATTGGCAAAAAGGGTGAGTCTGGGGGTGTGGGAATGGAGACCGGGGGCTGAAGGGAAACGTTAATGAATAGCTCCTCGTACATCCAATTAATCCCACTCGTTCAGGGCTAATAGCGGGGTTTATTAGTCCAATTAAGATGCGTTATATGCACAAGTTATTGTTTACGGAGAACCCACTCGCTGCTCATGACCCTCTGGCTTTTGTTCTGTGTACCCCCATTGTGTAGCAATGGCATTTTTCTGTGAATTCAATAGCAGAGAATTTCTGAGGCCACTCAAGCTGAAACTCAGGCGTACTCATCTCCTTCGATCTTCAATAAAGATGCCAAGTAGATATAACCGGCCGGGGCCTGGAAAGGCCGATTGAATTCACATTTCAAAGATATCAGATTCCCAGATTACTTTCACATGATATGGCATCATCAAGGGCTCCTTTAATATTCGAGATGGCATCATTTCCTTCCTGACATCCTTGTTCCTCCTGACGTAGTGTTTATAGTGTTAATCGGCCTTTGGGGTCAATCAATCATGAGTTATTCCTGCATGTTTTATCACCCCTCCAACAGCTAACTACAGAGTGTACAAAGTGCGAGATATTGGTCTAGACTATCTGCCATTGGTAGTGTTTCAAGCTTAAGAGCCCTTTTGGGTATCTGTCGCGAGATTGGCCTCAGGGGTAGCTGCTTTAGGGCAAAGGGCTAACGCCTCTCCACGAACGACTGCGACTTCCATCGCGACATCAAGGTGATCATCGCGAGAAAATGATTCCTATGTAGGTAGGATGACGACCCTTGACAGGGGACTCGTCATCCAAATCTTAATGATGCGCAAGCACCTCGCATTCAAGACTAGGTAGGAAGTACATTGTCTGCGCCGTACCCTGGTAGGCGCTTATGCGTCTGAACTTGAAGACACCAGTTCGTTCTCGATCCTTACTCAGTCTTATCAAGAGCTGCACCCATTTTCACCGTGTCCAGAGGTATTCCATGCCCCCAGGGTCTCGGAAAATGTTATGCTTTCAACATTTCTCACTTTCCCATTACCGGCCTCAATGAGCATCATGTTGTTGAAGATGCAGAGTACTTTTTCAACAACCCCCCTGCTTACTCTCTGGGAGTGATTGAAATGGTACTTTCAACTAATGAGCCTAGCCATCATAGGAATTGCTTACAAGTGTTCAGACATAGCTAGTTAATTAACTATTACCAGGTAACACTCTTAGCTCTGTTCCCCTTACAGCTCTGGGATACACATCAACGGCCAATATTATATATGTACAGTACATGTTCTACGTCATCGCATCAGTCAACGATTAACTACCATCAAGAATCCAATCCCATTTTCCAGATGAGCAGGCTAAGTGCTCCATCAATGGCATCCGCCACGGCTTAATACGAGATTGAATAGAACGAATGACAAACGCGGGCGTACATACAGCAGGTCCTTCGTACGATTGATATGCTGCCGACACGAGCGACACCCACTCCTTTGAAGATCCAGAAACGATGACGCCTCAAAGCGCCAAACCCTATCATTCCTCATGTGTTTCCGCGTCCAGATGTACAACAAATACAAGTTTACAAGTTGGTTTCTTTATGAAGAGCAGCGGGCATGATCCCGGCGCCTGAAAGCGATAGTCAAGGGTGAGTTGGCTCCGTCTGGATCGGAATTGAGCAGTCGCTTTCTTCTCGGCGTATGGCGTCAAGATGCCAATCAAGAACATGGTTCCTGGGTTTCTTCAGCTCTGTATATTAGCGCGTAGAGAATACGACTACTGCCTCAATGTAGAAGACGAGGATACGCCTAAATACCTGCCTGGTGGCTCTACTTGACTCTCTGGCCATGATTCCAATTAGAGGATTCCAGTCAGAAATATCGAGGGTTCCTGCGTACAAAGTACCGGCAATCACGAACGTCCTTGCGATGCCGTTATGAACAACCTATCAGTCTCTGAATAGTGCCACTATCCACTATCGACGAGGGGCTTTACTTTGGGAGACTACATAGTATGAACAGGGGGAAGTTGACTCAGATTTGACGGTCTGGACATTGGTTGACAATTCATTTACTCATTTCATTCCTACAATGTTATCGGGCCATACAGACTTGTGGATGGCCAAGAAGAATACCAACTTAACTGCTTGCCCGTTCTAGCTCACGATATGCGTAAAAGGTCTTCAGCTCCGACGCTGTGAGAACCTTCTCCAAAAAGGCCGTGGGCAGCAGCCCTGGCGTACCGGTGCTACTGCCAGCAGCATTTATCTCTCCGTCTTTGTCACCACAGATGGCAGACTGGAAAAAGCTCGCCATCGACTCGGCTAGCATGTAGACCTCGCCCAGCTTCTCCAAAACCTTCATACACTGGTAGAACGATCGAAAGGCGTTCCCCCACAGATCGGGGCTGTCTGACCGGATGTTCATGATATGCGTTGCAAGTACGGGCATGAGGAGCCCCACCGTCGTGGTCGGAAGGCAATGCACAAGATCCAGCTCATGCAACCCCTCCGCGACAACTGCCATAGACTGGGTTATCTTTTGAATGCCGCGTTCTGGCGGACTTGCCTGTTCATGCCAGGGGTGGTATTCTTGGGTTCCCAGCCGCTGCCGGTGAAGGGCGCCCGATGCTGCCAGAAAAATCATTTCTAACCACGCACGATATGCGAAGAGGGACCGGTCGCCCTCGGACAGAACGGGCGATTCCGGGGCCTGGTACTGAATATCTGAGGGCAGGTTGGCTTGCCAGTTCTCGAGGGCCTGGATATAGTATGTGAACACCGACGGTGAGCAACCGGATGCGTTTGAGATGGGGGAAATAAGGCCGCTGATGGTGGTGCAAAGCTTGCATTTCTCAATAAACATTTGCGCGAGTTGCTGTTGTTTACCTACCCCTCGAAGCACCTCGCAGTTTCCTAGCATTCTCAGCACATGTGGCGGATGTCGCTGAATATTGAAATCGGCCATTGAGGGTGGCGGCACGGTGAAGTCTTCGTCCTTGATCACTACCGCCCGTCGGAGGTTGAGGGCGACTAGGCGATCAAGGGTATACATGCACCACCAGATGCGCTTCCAGAGACCCTTGGATGCGGTTTCTGACGCCCATTCGGATCGGTCATAGAAAGCGATTGATCCCGCAAGGGAAAGGGCTATCTCTAGCCAGTATCTGAAATCTTTGGGGTCCTCTGGTGTCTCGTGCCAGTATGTCATTAACAGAACGGATTGGATCAGAATGACCCGGTCTCGCTCCACATCAAAGTCGTATAGCACCTGCGTACGTGTGTGAGAGAAAAGACCTAGCCAGCAGTAGGGATATACTCACCCTCGCTTTTCGGAAAAATTCCTGGCGTGCGGCTTTTCGGGACGTGTATCCAGCGCGATGGATGTGTTTGGGGTCTATGGAGGCGGTACTTGAGAACATGACAGCATGGAATAATAGGAGACTAATGCGGGATTCCCCATTATTGTTGGCGATAGCTTCCAGGAGTATCGAAAGGTCGAGGACAGGTAGATAGGGATGTACATGTAGGGCGAATGTCTTGAGGAGTTCGTTCCGCAGGGTTTCGTCTGGCAGTGAAAAGGCGCCCTTTGTTGCCAGGAACTGGAGGTCTTCGTCGGGGAGATTTGGTGGAAGCTTCTGGATAAAGGAGGGGAGGAGTGTATTAAAGGTCGGTTGGGGAGTCAAGTCCGGCAGACCTGGGACAGGATGACCGAGCAGGTCATGGGCCACAGATTTATAATGATCGAGCGGTTGCATCCAGTGGATAGGAGGAGATGCTGCATCGCCTGCGAGTTGAATGGAGGCCTCGGGGGTGTGAGATTCCGGGGTATCTAGCACTATTAGCCATCCTGAACTATAGAATAGTTGTTTCACCTTTTCTCTACGTACGAATCAGGTCCTCCCGAGGCGAGCCATCTAGCCCATCACCATTGGCCTCCGCACTAGGCTCTGGGGGACATTTGATATGATAGTCGCGACATGTCAAACAAGGTATTTCTTCCAGTAAATCGCAGCAGATATGACGCGAAAGACAGTAACCACACCCAACTGAGAGTGGATACATGGTGCACACAGTCTAATAACCCCTTAAGGCTGATCTCGCCAACTGCACAGGGTAGGGTGCTATTCGATTCTTCCGTGAATGTGAAACCGAGCTGGGCTGGGATCAAGGCAACCTGGCCGTCAGATGCTTTTTTCATCGACAAACGACAGCGTTAGAAAGACAATTCGCTGCATTACCGATGACCGACTTCGACCGCGGCCCCCCCTAGGCCGGAATACGGACTTTGAATTCAAGCTACCCAATAGCAGGAGAGAGTGCGTGCCTGTACAACGTCTATAGCCATTCACAGCGCCAGATTTCGAGAAATAGCGGTCTAAGAGCGGATCCGTCCAGCATTCAATCTATTAAGTATTAACCATTGCATGGAGATAGTACCAGCGCCCCGCATTTCCCCGGCTGGAGACAAGAGATATGTATCTGCCTGTCATCGGATCCGGTCCGTGGCCTGTGGCTTGAAATTTATCAGGTTACCGTCCATTTCGAACGGATTCGCGCAATGTACTACTACAGCTTTGATTTTAGCAGTGGAATCTGCTGGCCAGAGCGCGCCACTTATGTACTACTCTTTTGAATGGGAACAGGTCAAAGATATCGGAGCGACAATATCGGACCGCAGTCTTGATGTCCCCTCTAATCTCGCAGGTCACCCTTGCCCTACTGTACTGCATATCATGGAGGTACTCGGTCCGAAGGTCCCGCGGCAACGTCGTATAAAATAATGGTAAATTTAGAAGACCAGCGTGATCAATGCTGGCCAAAGAGAATATGCTTAAATCCGTATTCGTTTAGTGATTTCTACTTGACCCAGGTCTCTTGTCCGGTCACGCTTCACGAATCCTCGGACCGCTGATACTGAAACAGATAATCGGAAAATGATCAATCATATATGATCTGAGAGACCCCTGTTTTTGGATGCTCCAAGGCCCATAAATCTGACACTCTACATAGCAAGATACTCAAGATAAAGATGCGACGACCTCCGGGCAACGAAACTACGAATCCACCTCACTGCTCGTGATCCATGCCACCACCATACTCCAGGTTCCTCCTGAAAAATAAAACTCGGGACTCAGAAGCATAGCCATAGCTTAATGAGACCCCAGCAGCTCCACTTTGTCGGCCCCAGGCATGGGATTCGTCCCTGAACGCTCCCTTAAGTGGAAACCTTGGAGGCGAGGAAGGATGCAGCATTGCCCGCATCAAGGCCATAAGTCAAGTGAGCGGCAGTGATGACAAGCGTGCCATCGCAGACCAGATCACCTATGGCACAGTAGACCTTAGTCTGGCCTGCTGGGTAGTTGGGGATCTTGCCCCCATCCTGCAAATTCCGGGTGAAGCCGAAAAGAGCAACGCCCTTGACCTTGGCCCTGAGATCCGCGGGGAGCGCCTGGATAGCGTTATCCATGACGGCAGATCCTTGACTATTTTGTGACTGTTAGCCTCCGAGACGAAGAAGCAAGCAAGCAATCAAGCAAGCGATATGCAGAGGACGGGTAGAGCGCGTACCTGTATCCACCGGCCACGATCTGGGTATTCGGGCATTTGGTGTTGGCCATGTTGAACATGTCAGTTGCGGCATTGATCGACGCTTGGTCGGTATTCTGGGGAAGGAAGTTGGGAGTCAGGCCAGCTGTGTAGGCACCTCCAACACCCTGACAGGCGACGTCGCCCCCGAGCTTAGCCTTCAGATTGGAGCAGACTCCAGGGCCAACAATGTAACCCTAATCCCGGTTAGCTCTCTCCCACTTATTGATGGGCACGAGGACAATACGCACCAGATTGCCCGTCTCGGTGGAACCACGGGCGAAAATAAAGGTCACGCCTTTACACACCCCATTCTCCAGGTCGTTGGCACTGGTCGACTGGCGGCGCTGGATATCGGTTGCAGGCACCGGGCTTGCAATAGCCAGGCCAGCCAGGCCAGCAACGAGAAGAGTACGAAGATTCATTTTGAAAGAGTGGGCAAAGAAAGTTGGTAGGAATGTCTCCTGGAGATGAAGTGAGGCAATTGGGTTATTCTGCCTTCTGTTGTTCTGAAGTGAGGGAATATCTCGATTCTTGCCTGGACTTCACGGCCCTATTTATACCCTCTCCATCTCCCCTAGTCTGCTTCTCAAGTGCTTTTTCCATGCCCAACGGCTAATGATGATGGTGACTACCGACCCTAGGAAGTACAAGGATGGCTAAAACGCAATGCGTCCCTAACCCCTTGACTATTTTGTGAGTTGGGAGAGTGCAGAATTTACACCTCTCTCCGGATGTCTCAGGGAATGCCATATTCCTGTTGGCTGAAGACGAAAAAGAAATTGGCTAAGCCTCATGCAGGGGCCAAAGGTACATTGGGCCCTGAATTATGAATATTATGGGGAACAAATAGATTCGTGATTGGGTCTCTCGGTATTGGATGGTTTGTTGTGCTTGGAACAAGTAGACATGTATAGATAGTACAGTGCCGAAGCTAGGAAATGCCGATATTGAGGGCAAGGATCCGCGGCCGGTGCTGGAGACAAAAGCAAACGCAATGGCACTTTATCGGAAACTAATATGGGCCCTATGAAACAAGATTCTGCAGAACAACGGACATTTTTCCACCTCTTGTCTAACTTGTTCTCGTCTTGGCTGCTGAGATTGGGAATAGCCTCGGCCTTTCCTATATCGGGAGTAACAATGCCAGTCGCAACCCCGGATGATCATATACCGAACGATGCAAGGCGAGGGATCCTCATATCCCGAAATTCCAGGTATCCTAGTCGGCGTCAGGTGTCCCTCCACATGGCCTACTTCAGCCGCGGCGATGCTTTCCGCTTGGGCCGGTATACTTTAGAGAGTAAACACCACGCTCGATGCTGTTCAGCAGGATATTGCCGCTGGAAAAGTATGGGTAAACGCTCCAGCTTCCGGCAAATTCTACCTGGCCTCCTTGCTCATCATCTTCCGGGTAGCAGTCAAAAAATCCAACCTCGCGAAAACTAGACCCGGATGGGTCCTTGAAAGCTGAGCTGACATCTACGATGCGGAGACCACTGCCGTAGTTAGCCTGGTACGATAGGCCATCCACAACGTACTGGTTGTGGTCAATAGCGCGCACGGGGGACTGATAAATGCCGGTGTGGTTGGGAGAAGTGAGATCGCTCACGTCGAAGATATAGGTGGTTGTGTGTCCGTTGGCAGCGGCGCCCACCGCATTCATTTCGTCTAGTTCATCGTCCAGCAGGAGATACGACATATCCTCTGGGTCGATGAGCCAGCCCTGATGGGTGTAAGTGGCACCGGCATAAGGGGTTTTCGAAATCTGAATCGGGGCTTTCTTGTCCGTCACGTCGACGATAGTGAGGGTATCTTCGTTGTAGTTGAAGCAGATTTCTCGTCCGATGTACTTGCTGTGGGGGCCTTTGTAGATAACACACTGGGCTGAAGGGGTGTGTTAGGTAACTTTGGAATTATGCTCAATCCTAAAGAGAGAGGCTCACCGTCATGAACATAGCCGTCCTCGCGGACACAGCCAGGCGAAGTAGGTTTAGCAGGGTCAGACACATCCACCATCCACAGGCCTCCCGCGCAAGTGAGGTTTCTCGCGGTGCCAACCGCATAAATCATGTTCGTCTCCTCATGCGCGACAATGTTATGCGAGCTTCCGAACTCACTGTACCAGGCCGTCAGGTCTTTTTCGATCGAGAAAACCGTGGGATTCGAGCTAGACGCGTTGGTCAACTACCCAACCGTTAGCCCTAATTGCTGGTGTCCCCTCTCCAAAAAAAAAAAAAAAAAACCAAAAGGACATTCTAATTTCCAGTTGAAGTCCTCACCTTATTCAGATCAAAAATTTGAAGCCCGTGTCCTGCAGCCTCGGCGCCGATATAGACATAATCCCCAATCACCTTCATGTCCCGCCAGACACTAGGTACCGTCTGTGTCGGCAACCGTCCAATGTACACCAGACTGCCATCTTTGAGAACCTCGACGAAGGCGACACCATCCGTCTGGCCGACAATTCCAAACTCCCGATTATTCGCAGTTGTCCAACCTAATTGAGGGTTTCTTTATTCAGCCTCTGACCTAAAAAGCTTCGTCCATAGGCACACAAAACTACTTACCCCAGATATCATTTCCCTCACGAGTGACACTACCCATGGCTTGGTGGCTCAGAAAACTCTGCATATCAACATTATTGCACGAGTACTCTCCCGCCTTACCACCAGTACAATCTGTCCGGCCATTGTTCGAGTAGCGGTTCAGATTAAAGAGACCCTGCGTTCGAGCACGCGCACGAGACTGCATCTTCAACGACATCAGGTGGTCCATTGTCTCTGCACCTTCATGGGATGCCGCCGTCAAGCAGACTAAGGAAAGGAAAGAAACAATTGACAGCTTCATGGTGATCGTCTGTCTTTTTACCTTTGTTTGTTTTTTTTTTTTTCAACCAAAAAAAGAATGATGAATAGGAATCGTAAGTAAAACAGGTGATGTCTTCGAGTCCCTATGACTTACTTGACTTGTGCTCAGGGCTGCACGGTCTGCCTTTTATATACAAGTGCTCACCCGCCCCCCCCCGGGGATCTTTTTGTTATTTGGTCGTCAACTATCGATATTCCCAGCCAAGGGATCATTATCTACAGCGGCCCTGCCACCAAGAGGGCGGGCACCGCCGGTGCTACGAGACGTCTTATCTCCTTGTTCTTGGTCCCGTTTCACTCTGAACCCGAGCAAGGTAAAATAGAAGCCCACCGTCCAAGAAACCCCCAAGAGTTCTAAACCCCAATTATATATATCTTGGGTTGCAACCAATCGAGACCCCGGGATTTCAATTGAACGGCGCGATTCGCTGCGCAATGTGAGGGCAGTTCTTGGCTTCTCCGTATACTCTGCATAGATTGAAGGGGTCAAAAGGGGGTTTTTTTTTTTTTTTCGGCATTAGAATGCTCAAGTGCAAGGTAGGGTATGTATTCAGTTTGGAGATTCACTTGTCCTGGTTATTTATATTCCGACTAATGGGTGGAGGGGATTCACTTCACGCCCATATATACCTATATATACACTCGGTGTACGGAGTACCAAAAGTGTGCTGCATCTTTTGGCCGTTTAATACCGACTAGAATTCGCTCGGGAATCTCGAGACACCATCCAGAGAACGTGTAGATCGACTTATACTGGAATATGAAGACATGATCCCGTAACAGTCTCTGGTCGATCAATGAACATCACCAATATTTGCCCAGCATACTACTCTAGGCAGAAACAAAAGGCATCACTCAATTTCCAGGTCTCAGTCTCATATCGTGGCTATGCTAAATCATCAATAATTATCAAGAGTAATCCTTGCAAGATACTGCATAGATGTCAGTCACCCCATGGTTGATAGAGAATACTTTTCAATATTATAAATAGTATTATTTACATGAAATTTCCAAATTCCCCAAGCCCATCGGCCATCATTTAGAACTAATCCCCTCCGCCTAAAATGCAAACAAGCGTCTATTGTACCAAGATGAATGACGAATGTTTTTTTTTTTTAAAAAAAAAAGAGAGAGAAAAAGAGCAGATAATCATAACGCCATGTTCCAGCCGCTGATGCTTTGAAGGAAATTAAGGGTCTGCCAGGATAAGACTGCAGTTGGAATCACAAAAGTTTTCTGCCTCTTTTGACAGGACTTGGAGTTCGCGGGTTGCGTTCTCGTTCGCGACTTCGTTCGCTAACAAAATCCGCCAACGGTGGTTGCTCCAGCAGCAGAGGCATCTCAGGTTTATCAAAAGTAGATGGGTTCACCTGATTTTGTCCTCCCATATATCCAAAGCCAGAGGTTTGTGGTTCGGGCAGCTGAGAGGGATGTTGGCCAGAGGGCTGTCGCGTGTACGCAGGGACCGGATGGCTATATTCGTGCTGAGTGTAGCGACTTCTAAACGAACGGAATGACCAGTTGCTGACGACGGTGACGGTGGATATAGTGGCAAGAAAGAACATCTGCAAACCATTAGCTAGGCACGTTAAAAGCGCGGCAGACATTGGACATACGATGGCTTTCCAGCTGATCGGGTCAATAAAGCTGTTGATAATTACGGCCATTGTGTGGGCAGACACCTTTGCGCGTCCAACTTTGGCCGGATCACGATTCATGCACCGTTCCCAGTTCTCGCATACAGTTTCCAACGCAGGAAGTCTCCCTCCGCCGCCGCATTTGTTGTCCACATAACTCTTCGCACAGGTTGCCATCTCCGCCAGAATCGAATCCGAAACTTCCTCGGCGGCCTGATCAAACTCCGCCCGGATGGCTGATACGAATCCAAAAACGACGTAAACCGCAAGCGAAAACAACGAAAGATTCACGACCAGCTGCGCCCACCACGACAAAATGCTAGGAACGTTGGGATGGGCCTCGAGCAAGGTAAAAAGCTCCGAGAAGGTAGACATCCGCGAAGGCCGCTGGCCCACTTCCTGTGGCTGGCTCATTTTCTGTTTATTGACGCCCTTGCCCTCACTGCTATTCGGCCGGTCGCTTTCATCATCGCTCTCTCTTCGTAATTGTAGATCTAACGCCTTGTCCCTCCGTCGCCTCTTCTGCACCCGTCGAGCCGCTGCGTTGGAGTAATGATTCAAACGAGGTATTTCGCCTCTCCCCGGACTGGGCGCAAAGCGTCCGTACATGCCAAAAAGCGAATTTCGGTGGCCAGACCTCGCAGGTTGTTCGGGGGTATCATCATTATCTGCGTTCTCGGGCGACGACATATTCTCTGCTCCTGATGAAAAGTCGAGGTCGAATTTTCTCGGTGTCATAAACGCAGGCTGGGCGAATACCGACTTGGGGGTTCCGGGAGCGGGTTGAGATCGAGTTTGCGAGAAGAGGAAGGGCTGGGAGTTAGGTTCTCGTAGGGCTGGGATCGGTTTCTTCTCGGGTGAATCGAAAACATTGCGGGGTCCTATTCGTCGATTAGATTCTCGCGCTACGATCAAAGGCGTCGAAGAACTGATCATCGTAACGTACGTTTCTTCTGGTTGTCGTGCTGCATGCTGAGCTGGTAGAACGGCGAAGTCACATCTCCGGGCGCCCGGGTTTGCCACTCAAAGTCCATAGGACTCTCAGCAGTTCGTTTATCCATCGTGCCGGAGATGGAAGAACAGAAGACTACTGCGAAAGGATGGAGAAAGGAGGCTGCCAGCGAGAAAATGGTGGAGGTTGAACAACGGAGGTCGTCGGGGAAAGGCAGGATGACTTTTTTTTTTGCCGGTTTCCTTTTTTGTTTTGGTAAACAATCCAGACTCAGCTCCTGTAGCAACGGCGATGGTATTCAGGTTTATAAACCAGAACAGATTCCGTATCTACTATGGAAAATGACTGCATCCAAGAATTTAATCTATATGAGGGCTATTAGTTTGTGTGTGTTTTCCTAAGGTTCTCTATCCCAGCGAGTCGCCATCAACGTAGACTGGTGAAATCCTCAGTATCGACGGGATCATAATAAGAAAATTCAATGGAATTAGCATTGATTAAAGCGGTTGCTTTACACTCTATCTTTGTGCAAAAATATCAAGTACTTGAACGGTAGAAGCGACACTAAGATTCGCTCGTCTTTCCCCGCTCTCCTTTTATCTCCAGCTACAACCGCCAGAGGAAATATGTGGTTATGGTATAATGTTCATTCTGATAGCATAATAACAATATCCAAAATCCAAAATCCCAGTTGCGCGATCAACGCTAACAAGAGAGGAATCGCATATATACGTTGTCACCCGCGCGAATCGACTTCCCAGACCGCAAGAATTCCAGAATCTGACAATCCATATCACAAGAACGCGCAAACATGTCCAACCCAGTAAGCTCCAAAGTTATCTAAGGCAAATGAATCAAATCAAACTTCTAGCCCAACTCCAGTCCCAACAATCATCATACAGGAACGCGAACGCAAGGCGCGAAGAAGGTGGCAAACAGGAAGCATAAATACAGCAGGGTTCATAATAGTCACAGGTGAATGTGGTCCACCAGTTCGAAATCATCCTCATCTGCAAGGTAGCCCATAGCCATCTCGCTCTCATGAGTGATGATCTCGTACTCCTTGACCAGCTTCTCCGTCTCCTTGGTCTCGAACTTCTCGACGGCCTTGTTGACCACATCCTTGAAGATCATCTGGCCCGACGCCTCGTAGAGATGAACGGCACAGTCCTCCCCCTGGAAGTCATCCACAATGCGAACGGTGGCGGAGATGTCGTCACAATCCTCTACCCCAGAGGAATCGGAAGGGCCCAGGTCGAGCGCCTCCCGGACATCCTTTCGCAAGTCGAACTTGGCAGCGGAGGAGAGGTGGTTAGTACTCCGGGTTCGTTCGTGTCGGATCGCGGAGTGAGTGCTATTTGAGTTTAGTCAGGGTCTGGAGCTTCTTTTCTTTTGTTTGATAGGGGCCGAGACATACAAGAGAGGCTTTGCAGGGCGCGTTATAGGGGCTGCGCCTGCAAGAGGGTCATTGCTGCTTCGAGCAGTGCGGCCTCCATGCGCCCATTTAGCCTTGTGGTTATAGGTCCGTTTCGCGGCAGTACCAGCCTGGCGCAAGTCGTGAGAAGGAGTAGATTGAGCCATGATGGCGCTTAGACAGGTATCCCCCTGTTCCGGCGAAAGTAAAAGGGAAGATGGGGCCAGTAGAGTTGAGATGTCGTTCGTCGTCTGGTATGTATAAATCTCCGGGAGTATGTCAGGGTACGTAACAAGTGGGTGGTGATTCTTGTTTTAGAAGTAATATAACAAAGCAGGAATAGGGATGAATAATGAAGAATGAGTAATGAACCACGGATACAAGGCTGGATCTCGGTGGTGGTGGTGGCTATAGCTCGGGTGAGTCACCAAGGATCGGCCATGAAACAGTCACCGGGGTGGCTTTGAGTCTTTGATGCAGTCAAAGAGGAGACAACAAAGAGAGAAGACCCGAGTCGGGGGGGGGGGAGGATGTTTCTATCTACAAGGTACTTATTGTTTGGGAGGGGGGAACGATGGAGTCATCCGTCATCTCCAGGGGTTATTATCATCCAGCTCTCGGAAAGTGTAAGCACGCTATCATGTCCTATCGATGCAGCACATTCTCTTCTGGGAGTAACCGCCACTTGCGCCAACCCTGGAGTTGCCTTCGTAACCAAGAACCGACCTTCCAACCGAGGATTCCGACCCTCCTACCTAGAGGGTATACTGCAGCCGTCGATTTAATCCACTGCCTCAGGCACGTTGTCCCATCCAGGGCTACCTAGGTATCCTATCTCTTTGTGGGTGATGTCATGGTATGATGCGATTTCCCTGCTGCATATCCGGTGAACTGGGTATTTGGTTTGCGGAAGCTAATCTAGTAGTAGTCCAGAGCAAGCCTTGATGACCTAGGTAGTATTCGTGTGGAATTATGCCTCGTCTACCACCTCTACCACCTCTACCTCCTCTTGTCTTTCCCCCAACACAAGCGGAGGCGCGTCCTTATCAAGTTATCATCATGCGTCCAAGTTAGCTGCAGGATCCGGCTGACTCGATCGCGGATCAGCAATCCTCTGTCGGCACCTGCAGGCAGCGCGAAATGGGCTAATAATATCGCTCCATGTCTAAGCTAGAAGTAGGCTGACTGACGGAGGGGCTGGGCTGGGGTTTAGCGTGTGTCATCATCGGCTTGATGGTGTACAGAATATTCCGGGCCTCTGACCTAGGAAGGCAGAGTTGAAAGAGAGAATTAAATGCTGGCGATAAGACATCATTCTTCATTATCACATGTTCTAGATTCCTGAGGTAGCCATGGTCACATGAAAATATCACCAACATGCCCGGAATCATCATATCATGTCTCTCTCATCTTAGAGTTAGCTTCCTTGAGATGGAAAAGAGATTCGTCATCGAAGAAGTTTAGTTATCTGATTCGAGGGTTGGGTCTTCATATCTTTTAGCATAATCGGCCATGTCCAGCACGACCAAATAAACACCTCCCATGTAAGCACAACAAAGTAGAGTACGGGAGCATCTACTATTAGTAGATAAGAGTAAATCACACATCCATCTGCCATTCATACTCCAACGCCTCCAGTCTCCCTTTCTTACTTCGCGCTGCAAACCACTCCTTCTCAAAGCCAGTACCCCGATCCACCCCATCCCACCGATGTCCCGGTCGAATCCCATACCGATTCGGCTGGAACCCTCCCTTGTATAACGGCTTCCCCGTGGTGCTCGTCCCCGGCCCCGTTGACTTGGTCAAGAATTGCGCAGCAGGATCATTCCAGCGCTGTTGAGCCTTGAGCTCCTCGTTCAGCGCCTCGTCCTCTGCTGTCCGCGCCAACGGCATTACCTTCGCCTCCGCCAGCTGCTGCCTCCGCTCCTCCCTCTCCCGCCGCTGCACATCGCCCATCAGGGCCTCCTTCGCGGCCTCCTCCTTCAACTTCTTCTCTTCCTCTTCTCGTCGCGCCTCCGCCCGTTTCATCGCCACGTTGATAATTCGTCCAGATGCATCACGGTAGATTGTCTCCTGCCCTTCCCCTCCCCTCCCAGTCCCAGTCCCAGTCCCATCCCCACTCTTATACCGCGCCTCATCCGCTTTCCTCCTCCTCTCCTGCGCCGCAACCATGGCAGCCGTCTGCGCCGCTGTCTGTAACCCAGCCCGCGCCCCAGACTCCATCCTCACCATCATCCCTTCATCGTCATCGTCCTCCTCCCCCCCCCAACCACAGCCGGCGCATCCTCACCCCCCTCCCCGTCCTGCCCCCGCCGCCTCGCCGCATCCTCAGCCGCCGCATCGGCCAAGATCTTATCCGCCGCGTCCTGCTCATCCGCCGTCCCGACCACCTTCCAATTCGACTTCTTCGTCCGTCGGAACTCCGCGCTTCGTCCCGAGTTCACGATCGACGGGCTGTACTCGTCTGCGTCAAGGGACGATGCGCCCCCCATCGCCCGGAGATCGGGAGGGTCGTCGTCAGCGATAATCAAGCCATCTGGTTGCTGGGGTTTGCCGCTCTTCTTGCGCTTTTTGGGGGGGCGTTCGGGGGCGGACGATGGGTCGGCGGTGAGGTAGTTTTTGGCGAGATATTCTGCTAGTGAGGAGGAGGGCATTTTTTTTTTCTTCCCTTTCGAGCTGGATTTGTAATAAAATGGGGGGGGGGGGGATAGAAGTATTTTGTGTTTTTTTTTTTATGAGGTATGTATGGATATGGACGTAGTAGATAGACTACTACCTAGGTCGTAGTGTAGGTTGCTTTACCAATATTTGAAGCTGGGCTGGAGCTTGATGGGATTTGGTGATTGATAACCGGATTATTAGTTTTACCGGTATACACTGTACAGTATTGAGAGTCTGCAATTATTATCAATGATCAACCTCTTCATCCACATCCTCTTCAGATAAGGTCCTCGTTCATCTCTGGAAGAGCTCATAGAATCCTCTGGTTTACCGACGTAACATGTAGCTCTTTCCCAGCTGAATTGCACTTTGATTCAAGCGACGAAGTAATACATTCATACATACATACATACATACATACCACCCAGTACTCCATACCCCCAGAGAGAACAGAAACAGAACCAAATGCCCCGAACAGACGAAGCAGAATGGTGGTTCAACGCCGTGTACGAAGCGGTCCGCGAGATCCCGCCCGGATGCGTGACTTCCTACGGACACATCGCGCTCTTACTTGGGTACCGTACGTCACGTCACGTCACGTCAGCTTTCCTTCCTTCACCCCAAGCCCAGCTTCTACCTGGAAGCCTTGACGAGATACTAGCAAGCTGATCTACAATCACTGATACGTATGCTATAGCAAAACGACCGCGACAAGTCGGCGTGTGTTTGAAACATCTCCCCGCCGAGGAAGGGGAGGATTTCTTCCACTCGGGGAATGTACCGTGGCAGAGGGTGGTGAATTCCAAGGGGATGGTTTCGCATCGGTATGTTTCTTCTCCGGTTGATTTATCTTTTATCTATCGTGGTTTGGGAACCGCTATGGTGCTGATTGGTGTAGTGGTCCGGGGAGCGCAGAGCGTCAGGCCGAGGCGTTGAGAGCGGAAGGCGTTGAGGTGCAGAGTGACAGTATGGGGGAGTTTTATGTGGACGTTGCGCGATATGGCTGGTTTCCGGATCGGCTACCGAGTGAGGTTTTAGAGGAAGACGCGGAAGAAGAAGAAGAAGTGTAAGATTGGCTATTACCGAGTCTAGGCAAATATTTAAATGGTATGATTGCACTCTTTAACGAGAGTTGGTTAATTGAATCATCCTATCTCCAGAGGCCGCACCATCCGTACGTTAATTGATCGTAACATAAGAGAGAACGAACTCGATAATGGAGAATAACAGGCATCAACATCGGTGTCATACATCGGGTTTCTGAGATGGCGAGCCCTGAGGGACGTCTAAGGTAGCCGGGGGGGGGGGGGGGGGGGGGGGGGGGGGGGGGGAGGTGGAGAAAGAGGAGGCGGAATCGAGACTCTATGCGGGTAAAGAATGAGGAGGGTAGGATGAGAAACAGGAGGAGGTGTGACGTATTTGAAGAGGATGTATGTATGTATAAAAAATGTCTGGAGTAGTCATAAAAGACCAACAACCCGCCAACAGGACCAAAATGGAGAAAATCCGCAATCAAGGAAATCATGAATAAATGAAGGAAAATCGTCACTTGACACATAGTATAACCATTATAACAGTGCGGTTGAGTGTAACTCGGCTTATCTTCGCTTTACTTCCGAAGCCCATCCATCAATTCCCTCGCCGCGGCTGCCAGGCTGGAGACCGAGATCAACGCCATTCATACCAGCTGTATCCTTCATCCATGCGTGGGATACCATGCCACCGGCGTTGGCACGTTTCTCGGGTAGGACTTCGAGCATCGGGAGGAGGAAGTCGCTGACAGCCATGCCTTCAGACAGGGAGAAGTGATACTTCTCCCGCAAAACGTCTGGTAGCGACCAGTGGCGCAGTCGGTGAATATTGCGGAGTTCTCCTTTACGATTGAAGATTTCTTGTGACCACCTCCCGGAGAGACATAGGGACTTCGGGAAGGGACCGAGAAGCTCGATGACTTGAGCTATGTGGTCGTCGTCTTTACCATACCTGGTACCTGATTGAGGATCAAACAAATAGTCACCAGTGATGAGCTCGAAGACCTGTTCGGTGTTAGATGTGGAACTGCAAGAGTACGCGACGGCGAACCCACCATGCAAGCCATGCTCCATATATCTGTGCTAGCCCCCCACTTCGATCCCAGGATAACTTCCGGTGAACGGTACTGACGTGTCTGAATGTCATTAGTAAAGTGATGGCCGACCCAACAGGCATTGCCGAGGTCCGCGATCTTAACGGAAATGATGTCGCAGTCGAATTCTTCCGGCTTGGATGACTTGTCAAGAGATATTCCCGATACTTCTCGTTCCAGCAGGTCCCTGTTGCGGGTTAGTTGCGCATGCTCATATGAGTAGAAACGGAGAACCCAACGCGGTTTTTTCTCGCTGATTTTGCTGCTCATCCTCATCCTTGATTCCCAACACCTGTTTCATCGACGAACCTTCTGAGGTACCAACGGTTAGCGCAAAATAATTCCAATCCTGGGTGCAAGATCCCATACCGGAGTCGCTGAGCATCTGGCTCAGACTGCTGTGTGAATTTTGCGAACTGTGCTTGAACTCGAAGTTTGTGTTGAGGGGGCTGGGTAACGGTTGACTTCCGGTAATCAACGTCCTGCGTCGTCGTCGACCGTTGCGATTATCTTCCTTTTGCTCCTTCTTCGCTTCTTCGCTGACGTATGTCTTCACGATCTGCTCGACGTCGCCGATTTCGATCAAAACGTTTTCCGGTTTCAAATCGGTGTGAACGATGCCGCATTCGCGGTGCAGGTAGTCGAGACCCAAAAGAACCTGCTTAGTGATCTGTTTTACCAGCGCCATGGGGATACCACGGTGATTCCAGCGCTTGATCAACCCGAGCAGATTCTCTCCCAACACTTCAAAAACCATGCAGACGTGGACGCCATGAGGTCCCTTGTGTTCGAATGAGTCGAGCAGACTGACGACATGCTTCCTTCCCGGATGCGATGGGTTGGCCTGAACAATGCGATTTAATAATTTAATCTCGTCGATGGCGGTTTCGGTGTAGTGGGCGGCAGAACGGACGACTTTGAGAGCGACGTGTTTTCCTGTGGTTGTATCGCGGGACAACCAGACGGTCGAAAAGTGACCCCACCCCAGCTTGCGCACGACGACATAGCGACCATTGTTGTAAGTTTCCCCGATCGTGACGGGATGATAGCCACCCTTACAGTAATCCTCCGAATCTTCTTCTTCGGCAGTAGTTTCAAGTTCTTCTCCGGAGGAAGAGGAGCCGGATCGCGACGGCGGAACCCTGGTGGAGGGAAGAAAATGGTTAGCTGCCAGCCAGCTGCCAGAGATGCAAGCGAACAACGGAGGGGCGATAAAAGTAGATGTCCAGGAGAGACAAAGATCACATACGACTCAGTCTTCGCGGTCGCAGGATCAACCACCGGGGCCGTAGGGTCGTTGGTAACGATCGGTTTCAGATCCGTGCCTTTTCTTCTCTTCTTACCGCCATTGCCATTGGTAGCGGACGCAGCAACACTAGTCGCCATTTGCTTGCCCTTGTTGAGAACAGCCTTTGTAAGATCAACCCCGTCCATGACTCCGACGAGGGAATTCGGACCGGAAGGAATGAACTAGGCGCGAAATAAGGGGGAGAAGGGAGGAGAGAAGGGTGGGGTTTGGGAGGGGGATGATGCCGGCTGGAAGAGAAGATGCAGCAAAAGATGATGGGCGCCGGATGTGATGTGATGGTGGTGGTGGTGGTGGTTGGCGGCGGAGGCGGAGGCGGCTTAGGTTGTGCGAAGCTGAGGGGTTGGTTGAGCGTGTTCCCGCAACCGTCTGGAATCGAACACGAGGGATCACAGGGAATCCGTACAGATCGTGATACAGGAGAGAAATCTGGAGAAATAAAAACAAATACTAAATAACATAAGAGGGCAAAAAAAAGAAAAAGAAAAGAAGCCAAGGCGACTGTGAGAGAAGGAGGGAGAGAAAAGAGGGACGTCCGATTTGAAGGAAAATGAGTTTGGAGCGAGTGAGAGAATTGAGGGCCGCCCAATGCGTATGACGCAAACGATATGAGACCCCAGAGATCAACCACCACGACAGTCGACGATGGAATGCAATGTGGATGGGACGAGACAGACAGAGATCATGGAGAAGACAGTCTAAATTCCACAGTTCTTCACGAACGAGACCATTTATGTCCGCAAGCAGCGTGGATGGTGGAAAGAGCACTACGGATGTGGCGAATGCTTCAACTATTTAGATTCTAACATTCTAACAGGGATGGGAATGAGATGGGATAGTATCGATGCAGCTGAAGAATCGATGCAGGAGCCATGCACATTGATTGATATTTGGAATTCCTAGCTATAATCATGTATACTATGTGATACGAGTCAATATCAATAACGATGCTCATTCTATCTGTGTGCTTTAAATCTGGACGTGGCATTTGTGAACATACATATATATCCTCAAGAATCTATCTATGCACTCAGGGATATATTTATCACATCTTCTACTCAATAATACCATTAGGTGGCGGTTGGGGACGTGGAAATAGAGACGATTTGGTCGTCGATTTAATCCCAGCATCAAGTGGCTGAAGCTGCAACAAGATCACAGATACAGACAAGACAGATACTACTACTGTCGATTTCTTCCCGGCATCTTATATCAGATCTCACCAGGGCATATCCTCCCGAACTGTCAGACGAACGAGGGCTCGTCCTTGCAGCCCAAATCCACGAGGCAGTTTAATCGTGACTCGATTATCAAGCTTTCTCTGGACATATCTGAAGAAGACCATCCTGCCCTCGAGCTTATTTTTGGAAAAGATCAGTTTATGTTGGAGTGCTGCAATCAATGTAAACAGCACTGCCATTAAGCAAGTAGTGACACGTGACTACTCTGTGTATTTAAGGCCACTGTTTCCTTCCAGATCTCCATGCTTCTTCCAAGCATCTTCTTCATCTCTCCATCTCCTAGTTAGACCCAATTGAATTCATTTCGGTCAACTTTCTACCGTCATAGTTTGACGGCCTTCATCACTTTATACTCACTCCTCGGGGCGGAGACTCTACCTCTAGCTGAATTTCGTAGTTTTCCAGCAAGATCAAGATCGAGCCGAGGAAATATTGGAATCGAGAATATGAAGACCCAAGACGGCACCTTGCACGCTTGTTCAGCGCTTACTGATGGCATATTTGAAGGAGATAAGGGAAACGCGTAATACCAATATGCGAGCAATTTCGTCCCTGCAGGGCTGAGAGATGATGTTTCATATTCACATATCATTTCAGCCACCCCGCAGCTCTTTTGCCTGCAAAGTTAGTGATATGTTGCGTTAGGAAGGGCAAATTGTGGTGCGGCGGCAAGCGTAAAACTGTCCGCTATAACACAGCATTAATCACACATGGAGATTGTGAGAACTGGGAGCATTAGCATAAGGTCTCTTTAGGTATACTCGGCCCCCATTCTTCCTTTTTACTTCTGCTATTATCGTTTCCTAGCCTCAAAATCAAACGTTTCATGTGTTATATTAGGGCACTACACGATCTCGGATAATACACGACCACCATGGACGTTTAAGAGCTAACTAGGCTTTTTATGATAAATGCTCTTGCTTCCAGTAAAGATGTGCTTGTGCAGAGTGTGCATGCTGCATTATAACTGTTAGTCACTGATTATTTACCTTCTGATCATTATCCTTGGGGCAGTATAATGATAGTAGAAGGGCACCTTGTGCAAGGGATTTCTGGTCAGTTAGTATCAAAGTAATAAAGCATCTTTGCCCTGAGTACAGGCATTTTTGAACATCGGGTATGTTGCGGAAGCCTGTTGCAGTTTGGAAACAGGCACAAAACTACACGGCGCGAAGAGCATTGCTTGGAGAATAAAAAGGATACAGACGTAGTTTCGTGCAACAAGCCAGTCTCAGCATATTATACATGATGGTACATAGTCCAGAAACCTGCCTCATAAAAGCGAGAGGAGTGGACGGATATTGTCAATAGATCGCGTTGAGGGAGTCATAAACAGCTTTGGCCTCTAAATACTTGATATCATCTTGTAAAGAGTTAATAAAGTAATAGACTCGGAAGCTTGCCTGGATTTAATCTGCCAGGAGTGTTAACGCCATTTTTCAACCCCTTTTCATGCGCTGTTTTCCTCCTTTTTATCTCCGCATTTCTACGACGACCGCTGGTGAATATTAACACATACCCACGAACAGCGGTATAAGCTCCAAACAACCCTTCGCGATGACATCCACCACGCATTCTGTCCAGTCCAAGAAGCAGTTCTTGCACACCAGCCAGCCCCTGCGCGTAAAATCACACCGCATTTTGTGCAACCAGCACAAGAAACAGGTGATTCTGGATCGAGAAAGCTCCGTCGCCGACGGTTCTTGTCCGATTGTCTCTTTCTCTGGCTTGCCCACGAGTGGGTAGATAAGTCTCGGGTAGAGGAATTGTTAGCAAGCGCATACAACCGACGAAGCCGCTCAAGAAGAGTACCTAGGTACACAATCTATGGTGGTCTAGCCCAGTCTCGGGCGGGATCTCCGCGATTACTCGAGTCCACATGGAAACCGTCGGATATCTAACTTGGCCGGACTTGAGAGAGAAGAATCGACTCGATCAGATCCCATAATTCCTTCATCCGGGACAACCCTGAGGAGAATGAATATATCAACAGCTGGACGATTTATATTTCGCTCCCCGAATGCTCGGTGTCCGACTGAGAATGATGAATTACTGGGCATTGCTGCTTGCCTCTTTATTTTTTTGCGTTTATTTTCTCAATACATACTCCATAGCCGCCAATAAATCTATCCACTCTACAAACTATTTGGATCTACGTAGTATTTCCTTTTTTTTTTTTTTTTTTTTTTTAAATCTCATGTCAGATGCCAATTCGGGTGAGTTCCTCTGGGTCCTCGACTGTTTTAGAACCTATTAAATCCTCCAACCCATTAGATCTTACCGTATCGATGCTAGAAGACGGAGGATATCCGCCAGCCGAGATATGCCTGCTAGTTAGCGTGGCTTCGGCAATCGTGCCGGAAATATCAAGTAGGCCGCTTGAGAGGCCGCCAAAGCGATCTATTCACGCTACCCGGAGGGGAAGAAAGTAATTTGTGGATTCTTAATCAAGGATGATCCACGAATTCCCTCGCTTTAGCTATTCGAACCCGTACTGAGTACTGACTCTGTTTCAGGCGTTGGGGAAGATGTGGAAGGCCGATGGATCTTCCCTAGTCTACTAATAGTTCATCCTAAACAACTCTGGACTCTGAGGCCGCGATGCTACCTTACACCGTATATTTACGTCGCTTTTACTGGTTGGGATTTTGATTGCTTCTTTTGGCGCCTTCGAAGTTGTGTAACTAACGGATAATTCTAAACCTCCAAGTACGTAGTGATCTACAAAGTGGCAGTCGGGGGAACTAACTGGCTTTAGTTGGATCCTAGCCATATTTAAAAAAAAAAGCGAGCTTAGCTTCCTCTATCCTCAAAAACTGGAACAGAGTCTCAGGAAACCCTGTCGGCATATATTGACTAGATTAATGATTCCAAACGCGGGAAATGGGAAGCTCGAGGCCGACCTACATAGTTAGGGCTTAATCAGGTGCACCACTCGGATGATACTCTTGTTTTCAACCGACATAAGGGTTATCTCTCGATGCATAAATATCATTACTTCCATGATCCGATGCGGCTCGAGGGCCCTTGCATTATGTTACAGCAATATGAGGGTGTATAGTGTTTAGATTCTGATAGCGTCAGTGCTAGGCATCTTGATCGTGTAACGTTTCGAAGAATTCTACTGGACGGAGTCTTATGTTGAAATGAGTGAACATACCTACAGAGTAGTAGTCCCGGTATTACCGGGTTTTCAATAACGAATCCAGTACTTTTTTCGTTTCCATATTCTACTAGATTCAATGCGGTTGTCGTATGAAAGGACGCCCGACAAAGGGCAAGGAATCATCTTCCGCCACGTCTATCAGGACCAATGCATCCTAATTTATCCTGAGCTTGAGATATGCAAAACCTTTGCTAACAGATCGCTAATAAATCTGTACTTCCCTTTTTTTTTCCCCTATAGCCTTCGTCTCTTGGCCACTAATAGTCGTCCTGTATAAGCATGCCGTGGCTGCAACAACCCTAATTACGACACGATGAGTGGTTGGATTAGTCTCTCTGCCTCGGTACAGAACAATCGGGAAAACATCATGATAAAAGAATAGACCTAGCGTACTCTATTCTCTCCAAGGGGCCTTGGTGGCGCGATTATCGCGGTATGCAGACTCGGGATGGTCTAAGCTGCCACAGCAGAGCATCACAAGCACGTGTGGAGTCTGTGGATGCAAGCTGTGTCACATCCATGTATGTAAAAGCTTTGGGATCCCGCAAGCACCCTGTGTTATGAAATCGACATGCGAGAATTCTTTCTTCGGGACCCGGGTATTGGCACCTTTTTCCATATTGCAGTGCCTCTCTACAGCTTTCATGTTATGGGGCAGGAACGGCACTTCAGTTCTACTCCGTAGGTACTCCGTCCTTGGGTAGATACTGGGTAGGCATAACATGCACTCCGTTCTGGAGGTTGTAAGACTTCTTCTGTCTACTATTGGCTGCCATGCACGGATGTATCGAGTGATCGACGCCCAGGGAAAGTAACAACATCTAGCGTCTTGCCGTTCGATTTGTTTCAACTCGAGTTCCCTTTCAAAGTCCACTCTTCGTTGATTGTATTTGCTTCCGTGTAACCGTCTTCTTTACAGAGTAGGTCGGTCTCCGACTACGGAAAGCGAGCAATGGTTATTTCGAGTATTAAAAGTCAATTGATCCTGGTAGTAACTTTAAATCCGTGAACCCAGCGAATAACTTCTCATCGCAACCCTAGTTGAAACAGCCTCAAAATGCCATCCATCATTGACATTGCCCAGCAGATCACCTCCAATGCCGGGGTGATTGACAACTACATCAAGTCGAATGGCTTGAAACCACTTTCCTGGGACTCAGATGCCGATCTCGAGTTCCCCAATCCCGACAATGACCCTACCATCGACGCTGCTCGGTTTGCGCTCATCGAGGACACAAGAAAGTTACGCGACCTCATGCTTGGCCCTACGGACTTGATGAGGGAACTGTCGTGGAGGGTACGCTGTTCCCTGTCTCCAAGGAATTTCAATAGATGCTGACGTCGACCGGATAGCAAATGGACATTTCAGTCCAGCGCATTGTCTTCCAATTGAAGCTCTACGAGGCTGTTCCCCTCGACGGCACGGCATCCTATGCCGAGATCGCTGAGAAAGTCGGTCTGACCGAGCGCCAGGTGATGCTCATCATCCGCCAGTCCGCACTGAATGGTGTTTTCAAAGAGATAGAGCCCAATCAGGTCGCACATACCGCTGCCTCGGCCGTTCTCCTGAAGAAGGAATCGATGCGCAATTGGTACAATCTGTACACTCACGATACGCTTGCTGTCAGCGCCAAGCTGGCTGACGCACTGAAGAAGTACTCTACAAGTGACAGGCCCCAGGATTCTGCCTTTAGTCTCGCGTTCAACACGGATGAGGGTTACTTCAAGTACATGGAGAATTTCCCGGAGTTGCAGCAGCGATTCTTCGATGGGATGATGAGTATCGGACAAGATGCAGGCTATAGTGCAGTCCATATTGTCGACGGATACGACTGGGCGAAGTGGGGGAAGGCGAGTGTTGTCGATGTAAGCGTTTGAGATGGCCCTTTTCCAGATAACCCAGGGATCCTGTGTTTTAACTCGTATCGCGCAGGTAGGCGGAGCGTATGGATACATCAGTGTCCAAATTGCGAAGAAGTTCCCGGAACTAACGTTCGAAGTGCAAGACTACCAAGAGTTCCCTCTGGAGCAAGGACAGGCTCAACTCCCTGTTGAATTTCACAATCGCGTCAGCTTCAAACAGCACAGCTTCTTCGATGTACAGCCTACCACAGCGGATGTCTACATGTTGCGCCATATTTGTCACAACTGGTCTGATGCCAACTCAACCAAGATTATCAAGGGGCTTGTACCGGCCATGAAGCCCACGAGTAAGATCCTGCTTATCGATGCTGTGGTTGTTGCTCCCGGCGTGGTAGACGTCATGCAGGAGAGGTATTGCAGGTTCGTCTGCGGCTGCTCTCGTAATTGGAATCACGGCGCGGATACTAACCGTCAACTATAGGAATATGGACGTTGCAATGCTTCAGTGGCTCAACACCCAAGAGCGCAGTATCGAAGTCTGGCAGGATATCATCTCTGCAGCCGATCCCCGCCTGAAGGTCCTCGGCGTGTACAAGCCCACCAAATGCTTGGACTCGATTATTGAGGTTGGATTCGAGAACTAACGTTTGCAACTAGGCCTACCGAATGGCCAACTTAGGTGCAAGTAGATGGAAGAGTATATAGTCTTTGTGGTTTTCTTGTGTTGCTTGAGTAATTTCTCTCTCTCTCTCTCTCTCTAGATATATATCGGCCGGAAGTAGAAATAGCTTGGATCAGTGGCTGTGTCACACATTCCAGTTAGATTTCTTCATACCAAATATAATCCAACAGCAAATGATACCATTCATAAACCGTCCGTTAGAACTTTTTTCTTTTTTTTTTCAATGATGAACTCGCATGTAGGAGTTAAGGACGGAGATTTGACACCATTCCGGACTTAAGAATTATAAGACTCGTGTATATAAAAGCCATCTTTCCTCGACGAAGATCTTCAGGAGAATATAAAAAATCAAATATCCTTCACTATGACGGAATCAAACATTGTTCTGATCACTGGGGCCAACACTGGTATTGGCTATCATATTGTGCGAGCTCTCTACAGCGCTGAAAAGCCCTACACTATCATCGTAGCGAGTCGAGATCTATCCAAGGGTGAGGCCGCGATTACAGCTGTCAAGGCCGAGTTCCCATCCTCGTCGAATGAACTTATTCCCCTCCAGGTCGACGTTGAGTACGATGACTCCATCAAAGAGGCCCATGATGCCATAGAATCCAAATTCGGGAAGCTGGACACCTTGGTTAACAACGCCGGTACGGTCTCCTAGAAATATATATATATATATATATCCTGCTACCCCCCCCCCCCCCCCCCCCAAAAAAAAAAGAAAACACGCTGACAGGTAAGATAAGGCGCTCAATTCGACTCGCTAGTTTCAAAGGGGGAGATGACGGAGCGTGAAGTCTGGAATAAGTCCTGGAACGTCAATACAGCCGGTACACAAATCATGACCTCTACTTTCATCCCATTACTGTTGAGGAGCACCGACCCGCGGATTCTCTTCATCACTTCGGGTCTCTCCACCCTCTCAGGTACAGAGGACATGGCTATCCGCGCGAATCAAAGTCCCGATAAGGGATGGCCTAAGCGCGGCTTCACCGCGACTGCCTACCGCAGCGCTAAGACGGGACTAAATATGATGATGCGCAACTGGCACCGTTTGCTAAAGAATGATGGAGTGAAAGTGTGGGCTATTGCTCCCGGATTGCTGGCGACGGGGCTGGGTGGGAACCCAGAATTCCTCAAGAAACTAGGAGCAGGAGATCCAGCTGTGGCTGGGCCATTCATCCGAGATGTTATTGAGGGAGTTCGAGATGCTGACGTTGGCAAGGTCATCTCCAGAGATGGAATCCAGCCTTGGTAAAGCCTGCGAGAGCTTATGCAGCCACTTTGGTTTAGTCTTTACGGGAAATCGAACCTGCCTCGAGGTTCTGAATTGCTATTGGAATAAAACCTACATCAGCTAGTCTGGAGGGTCAACGGGATGCACTGCTTTAACATAATCTATACCGTCATCTTGAGGTACCTATAGGTATCCAACTTTATATAATGATGCCACTTGAGGATATTGACGTTGAATGGTCGGCTACGACAAGCGAACAGGGAGGTGATGTCACGTTGATGCAAGACCCTGAATAGCTTCACTTTTCAAAAGTATATAAAATAAAGATCGAGAACGGATAAACATACCTCTGACAGGTGATTGGAAAACCACAGTGATATGATTTTGCCTCCACTCTAAATTGTCGAATATACTACTAGATAACCACATAATAGCTGTCAGTGTAGCCCCTCGATTCTCTCGCAACAGAAACTCTCCTCTTATACGCACAGTCTTTGGAAGCCATAAAAAGCAAGAGGAAATAAATCTCATCAGTCAGAGTGGGCAAAGAAAAATTACTTACTTCCAACAATACCACAGTGGCAGCAAAAATGCTTGCAGCAGCCTGGCAGGGTAAAAATACCATCACTGTTGGTTAGTTAGAGCAATCGTACCTAATATATATATTGTATCAATTCCTTACCTACTAATTTATAACTAGTGGAGATTCCGAAGCCCCAAGTCATCAATGCATCCGATGTTGTTGTTAAAGTGACCGGCACCACCGTCTGCGATAACGATCTACTTTTATTTAACGGTATGCGCGCCCTTTGAATACAGACCACAGATTATGTAACATTATATATATATCAAGCAGGCACACTTTCAGAATTACAAATAGGCGACGTGTTAGGCCATGAGTGCTGTGGAATCGTGGAAAGCATCGGACCGGATATCACCAAGGTCGAGAAAGGCCAACGCGTCATGGTGTCTTTCCCACTGGCATGTGGGAACTGCAAAAGATGCAAGATGCAGTTATACTCCCACTGTGAAAAGGCAAGCGAAAATTGTATCACCAATGCGTCGAAAGGCACAAGAGCCGTAGGTATGCTTTCACGGCGCGAACCTGCTGAACAAACAAGACTAATTTGATAGCAGGGGGTTTCGACTACTCTCACTTTGCCGGTGGTTTCGTTGGGGCCCAGGCTGAGTTTGTACGGGTTCCTTACGGCGATGTTAACCTGCTGCCGATTCCCGACGACGTGTCTGACGAGAAAGCTCTGTATCTTTCCGATGTCATAGGGACTGCGTGGCATTGTGTTGCCGACACCGGAATCCAAGCAGGCGATGTAGTTGTTGTTTGGGGCGCAGGCCCAGTGGGCCAGATGTGTGTTGATTTCGGTTTCTTCAATGGTGCTAGTCGAGTTATACTCATTGACGGCGGCGACACCGCTTGGAGACTTGGATATGTCAAGTCCAAGATTCCCGAAGTCGAGACTCTCGATTTCACAGGCCTCCCTCATGACAAATCTCTATCTTCTCATTTGGTAAAGATCATTGGTGGAGAGCCGGATGTTTTTCTCGAATGTGCAGGTGAAGGACTTATCCAGCACTTGGGAGTTCATTCCAACGCACTGCTCGAGGACAAGACAAACACCCCTGAGGTTCTCAATGGAATGATCAACGGTCTGAGGCCCTTCGGACGAGTAGGAATTTCGGGGATCTACGCAGGCTTTGTAAGTCGGCTAGCCCTTTCCCCATGATTGCAATTGCTCACCCATACTCACCGTAGACAAACCATTTCGACATCGGATCGCTCATTCGAACAGGGGCTCGACTCATTGGAAACGGCCAGGCTCCTGTGCAGAAGTACTGGGAGGGATTATTGGAACTCGTTGAACAATATGAAATTGACCCGCTCCATATGGTGAGCCATAGGTACCGTCTGGAAGATATTGACAAGGTATATGCTCTCTTGAGCAGACATGAGAAGGGTGTTCAGAAAGTCTTCTTGCAGACGAGATATTCAGTGTCTCCATCACCGGGCAGACCAGCCCTGACTGTGCTTTAACGCATGTATTGTTAAGTAAATCTACGGCTTTATTACCCGTGCTTGCATCTCTAGGGTTTCGGGGATTCTACTCAATTATTGCAAAGCAGAGATTGGGCGATTGACCAAGCCTGCTTCATGGACTATAAGATGATCGAAACGGAAGGAATTTGAAATATGCCCATTTTCTTAGGACTCTGAGAGTTAAGAGATATACTACTTCACACTTTTCACCTGCGAGCTTCAATGCTTTCGGCAGAAATGAATCTAGTCTGGATGCTCCAAATCCTTCTCGGATACATAGCATCCACTTACTAAATATAGCGGCATAAATCCACCAAGATCCAAATATCCGTCTTGGTGTTTAGAGGTCCAATAAGTACACACTTCGATTGTATCCTACAGGCCAGCATACTTCTGCACCATCTCCAAAATGGCCCCATTGACGGGCTCTGGGTGAGTCGCGTTGAGGTAATGGGCTCCCCCCTCAATCATCTGCAGTTTGGCCTCCTTCGACCGTGTGAATAGTTTAATCTGCTCTGCGGGAACCGTTTTGCCAAATGGAGTATCCTCAGTACCCTAAAACCATTAGTATTGCTGTCAGGCTGTCACCCCCGAACGGGTTCCCGATTTTACGGAAATGTCACTCACCTGAAGCCAGTAGACGGGGCACTGGATATCCCGGAGACGTAGCAACAATCCGTCCCGTTCTAGAAGACAATTTAGCGCCATTCGGACCTTCTTTCGCCCCTCGTCTCCCCGGTACACCTCCTGGAGGATCTGTTTCCAGAATTCAACGACCTCCTCGGTCGCAAAGGCCCCGAATCCAACCCCTCCTACCATGCCACACCAAACGTCGTCCACCACGAACTCTGGGGTTGCTGTCTCACTTGTCCATTTTACATAAAATGGGGACAACAGAGAAGCCGGATCCCAGCATCCCTTGCTTCGTGAATCGGAGGACTCGTAGTCCATTGACGTCCCAAGTGGAAGAATACCTTGGATCTGCAGTGCTGGCATTTAGCGTCTACTTCCTTGTTCTAAACGAAGAATATCTCACCCTCTCTGGTGCCAACAGTGCCATTCTGGTCACAATCCAGCCTCCCTGGCTAGTTCCTAGCGCGAAGGCCTTCTTAACACCAAGTGCATCTAGCACTTGGATTGCCATGATGGCTGAATCCCAGTAGGTGAAATGCTCAGAGACACAGCTAGTCGCACCATGGCCCAGGGGCTCAATGGCAAGCAGATTCGTCGCCCGGGTCAACTTCTCATCCTCAAACTGGGGCTTGTACAAGGCGGACGTCATGCACATCGAGTTGATTAGCACACAAGTTGGCTTGGAAGGATCATACTCGCGCGCAAGGGCATATCCCGCCTTGATGCCGCCAAGGTGAGGGACTTGAACTGTCTGGGTCATGATTCTTAATTATAGGCGAATGTAGTCGTGTAGAATGACTGTGACGACCAGCCCAGAATTGGTCCAGAAGAGTTGTACGCTTTCCTAACCCCTCAATCTTCTCTACGCCCAAAAGAGCAGGAGGGGTTTATGCCCTGGGTCCGCTGTACTCTGTATGGTCCTGGTATCCATTTCGCATGTCCGACATGGAATTAGTGCCACTTTAGACGTAGAAGCTCCACTCTCTCTATGTATTCTATGTACTCCGTATGGCTTCTTTCTGTTATTGTTAGCGATCAATACATGGCCATTAAAAATTCGTCCCGATAACATCGGACGAGCTATGAAGCCGCTCTTGTTCATTAATTTCGGTCTATATCGGCAGCACACTGCTAGTATTTACTATCAGAAACCAATATCAAGTGTAAAGAATACGGATAGCCTTCCCATTCTGCGTATCGGCGGCTCTACGAAAGACCCTCTCATCCAGCTATTATTCCTATAACAGACACATCACGATGCCTTGTCGAATATTGTCAATAGCGCATTCTATCGATTTTGTTATTAGCATTTCACTTGTAGAGCTCTAATTCCAGGAATAGTGTCTGAAGACAAAAATTCAACTTGTTTACCCTAAAACTATTCATCGAGCTTCTCTTTTGAGCGCCTCCCTAACCCTAGGTAGCGCTCAGGACATTTCCGCACGCTATTGAGGTCCTTCATGAATCCATAGACTTTGAGATGAGTATTTAGCGTAGGCTAGTCGCAAGCTCTCATCATTCTTCACTTCGGAATCAACCCATGGATATCTCCATCCAGAAAATTTACCGCATTACAGCCTAGAACATACCATTGGGGTTTCATAGTATTCTGCATGGGCCGAAGATGGGGAGCACTAGACACTGACTGACTCCGCCTGGTGTCAACCTCGAGGAATCGGAGGAAATAATTGGCGCAGTAACCGTCATTCTTTAATCATTTCACTTTCATCATGACCATGCTATCTGCCATCCAGCCGTTATCAAGGGGCTCATGAGAGCGAGAGTTTTCCACGAGGCTCAATTTTCTGCGGCCGAATCATTACCCAAGGCTACGTCAGCCTCCTTTGCCTACCTGTAAAGGACCCGAGCAATGGAGCAGTCTCTTTAACCAACTTTGAGAGCTATCTTAGAGTTATACGAATGCCTGCTGTTAGGTTTCTTGCCTCTTGGTTCCTAACCTTCGTTCTCGTCGGGAGGAAGAGTTAAGCGCCATTATTTGGACAAGGCTCTAGGAAGAACGTCATGGAATTGTTGGGAATAACAAAGTTGGGATATATGCGCCACGGCCTTTCTTTTCTTTAAAAAAAAAAAGAGATATAAACCACCTTGATACCCTCTAGATATACTCGCTATCATTGACATCAGACTACTCACTTCCTTCCCATCCATTTCTCAATCTATCCCAAAGCAGTCGCCTTGAACTCTCCTCAAGCGCAAAGTTCTTAGCGAATATGTTTCCACCTCCTTCATCCGCCGCTGCCAGTGTTGAATTTCTCGCAACCCTTTTCGATATGGAGTTTGCAGACAATACTAAAATTGCCAAAGCCTTTTTGGCTCCTGGTGCCTTGGACAAAGAGGGCCACAGACCCGAGAGTCTGATCGGAGATAGCTGCATAGCGCTCTACCTACGTTCCCAAGGCCTGGCCAGGAATGCAAGTGTTGGTATGTAATTCCATCGACGCTGTCATAATTGAGCAGGGCAATAGAGCTAATTTATTTATTTCGACTTGAAAAGACCTGATCGACCAGGTTGTATGCCAAATTAGGCAGAATAAAAACCTGGCCCAGCGAGGATTCGACCTGGGCCTGGGTCGCCATATCTATAACAACCCATCGCAGAGAGGTTATATCTCTCATAATCTTATGGCGACAACTGTGCAAGCTATTATCGGCGTTATCTTTCAAGAGAAGGGTTGGGATCAGGATGTTTTGCACCATACCATGTCTGTCATTGGCTTGACCTGGCCCGAATGAGAGATGTTTTAGAGAATTCATAAGCGATGGACCAGATTGGAAAGGTTGTGTGCTGAGAGGAGGAACCGAACCATTCTTAACTAGTGAGCAAGTTGGTATGCCCTGTTGTATATCAAGCCCTAAGTGGAAGAAAACGTCCCAAAAAGGAAATTGGGAAAATACCTTACCAGTACGTACTAGTAATCCCGGTAATTCTCGTAATGGGCGGGTAATACAAATACACAAAAGCCATCACATGAACAATTCTCACCCTCTAATTGGACTTTCTCACACCGCCTACCTAAATCGAGAATTTTCTCTTCTCTCCGCCAAACAACAAAACAACCTCGGGCTGTCAATGCGGCCCTGCTTGGCTTGAACGCTTCGGAGAACTTCAAGGTGCGAAGTAACGAGCTACCACTTGGAAGACGGAGGAGGAGTCAAAAGAAGAAACAGGATTATAGAAGAAGAGAAGTGAAGAAGACTTTGACTGTTTGGTCTTCGCCGCCATTTCTCTCCTCTTTTCTCCTGTATCCACGTCACAACATGTCTTCCCCGTTCCATCGCCGTCCGTTTCCCGATTACCTCCTCTCGTCTCCTCTGGTCGCCCTCTTGTATCCTCTCCACCATCTCCTTCTGCGACTTCGCGGTCCTCCTCGACTACCTCCTCCCGATTCTCGTCCTATCCGTGTCGTCTGTATCTCTGATACGCACACGCTAGAATGGCAAGACGTACCGGAAGGCGACCTTCTCATCCATGCAGGCGACCTCTGCAATGGCGGAAGCGCCCGTGAAATTCAAGCTGCTGTCGACTGGCTGCGCAAGCTCCCTCATCCGCAGAAAGTCGTGATCTGCGGCAACCATGATAGCTATTTCGATATCCGCTCGCGATGTGCTGAAGATCGGGATCAGTCCTTTGCTGCCATCTCATCGTCGACAGCCTCCATCCGCTCCATCGATGACCTTGACGCCCGTCACAAGATCGACTGGGGTGATATTCACTACCTCCAACACTCCTCGGTCACCCTGACCTTCCCTCCTCTCCCTCAACCACCATCCTCTTCCTCTTCCGCCTTATTGGCTCCCGGCTCCCGTTCCCGGGCTCTAACAGTTTACGGTGCTCCTCAAATACCTGCCATCGTACCCTTTGGCCCTGAACACGCTTTCACCTACCCCGCGCAACACGACGCCTGGTCCGGCACCATCCCCGCAAACACAGACATCCTAATTACCCACACCCCCCCGCAATCCCACCTCGACCTCTCGCCCATATATTCCATTGGCTGTCCCTTCCTTCTGGCTGAGACCTGGCGCGTGCGGCCCATGCTCCACGTCTTTGGCCATGTCCACGCGGCCTACGGGATAGAGCCCGTCTACTGGGACGAAGCGCAAAAAGCATGGGAGCGACTCTGTACCTCCCGCCGCGCACGGGCACAGTTCTCCCGACTAAGCTCCCTGCTCGGTTTCCTGCGAGATTTGTTCGATATCTCGGGGTGGATAGATTCCGCGCGGGTGGTGGTATATGGCGTACTGGGGGTCGTGTGGGCCAAGGTATGGGGCGGTGAGAACCACGCTTCGGGCTGGATGATTAATGCTGCGTGTATGTATCGGGATTCTGGCCGTCTGGCCAATAAGCCACAGGTGGTGGTCTTGTAGGCGAAGGAATTCTTTTTCCGGCTTAGTTTCTACTGGCATAACTGCATACAGCATGGGTGCATGTTGTACTCCCAGGGGCGCCAATCGTTTTGTATATAGTTTTTGTCTTGGTTTAATATCTGATCCCCATACATAGGGTGGGCGTTGGGCACACATAAAATTCGAAGCACTTGGCTTTATTCCTCCATATTATAGGTGTTCTGTACATAACCGACGTTCGAATCTCGCGCTCCATATAATTACTAGTACTAGCACAGTATTCACTGATGTCATAATTAAACTACGACTAACAGAAAGCGCCTGTTAGCACCATTCGAAAATCGTCAGTCAACTGCTACTGTCTCTTGGGGATACGATACAATAAACCAGATTACAATCAGTCTTGATTTACCTTTGTCATCCACACCACCACAACCACATGGGATGTCGGGCATGCCACACTCAGGACAGGAACAAGTTACAGCATATTTTGGAACTTATGATGCAGTAGTGCTTCACCTCTCTTGCAGAACAGCAAAGTAAAAGAGAGGAAGGGGAAATGAGGGGGGGGGGGGACCAAGTGAGGGGGATAAAGAATCCACAATGATGGATGCTTCAACATATGATATGCTGATAGGCGCGCACTCTGGTAGGCACGTCGTATATGTATACAGGAAAACAGAGGACGATCCCCTGTGGTTCTGCTCCACAGCTCCACAGCTCCCCAGTTATGCCCAGTAGTATTTGTTCGTCGTTCGAATAAGTTAGTGGTGATCCACCAGTCCACACCTATCCACTCAACGTACTCCGTAGTCCGTACTGGGCACTGCTGCTCGCACTACCGAGGTAGGTGCTCTCCGCTGTGTATATGACTAAAAGCCCTAAGTTGGACTAAGGAGTCAAGTCAAGGTTAATCGTGTCAGCTTTCACCCACGGAGTTACTGTACGTAAGTACGGAGTAGGCAAGTAAGGATGTAGAGTAGAACTGAAAACTCCATACTGTCAAAAAGAGCAGGGACAAGAAAAGCTGAACTGAACTTCAAAACAAGCTCATAAACTCGCCTCTTCACCAACTCAAGCACGGGAACATAACGCAAAGCTTCACTCTACTCCAAGTGGGCACTTAGCTCAAGTGGTGACCCGAGCGCTACTTGACCTCCTAGGACCTAAGGTAAGTACTGTAGTAGAGTGGAGTGGAGTGAGATATTTATCCACCCACCTGTAATTTTGAGGAGTACAGACTAGGTACGGAGAAGATCCTAGATCCTAGATACTCTCTACAATGGGTGTCCGATACTACGGAGTAGGTGGGCTATCTCTCGCCCACGCGAACATGCAACATGCAACTACATACGGAGTATACCGAGTACAATGATGCAATGACACCATGATGCTGTGATACATTCAAGATAAACACGAGTGCTGTGCCGATCCCATAGCCGCGAGAAGTTAATTTCATCCAATACACCAAATAAATAAATATCCAAGAGAAACAACGTCAACGCCATTCGTGATCGATCGACCCACCGACTGTCCAACTGTCCAACTAGCCTTGCCCTTTCTTGCCCTAACCCTAACACGGTGGGTGGAAAACTCTTCTACTCCGTCTCCTCCGCCATACGTTCTCACTGGAGAGTCAGACAGGGGGAGGTGGAGAAATCATTCTTGACTCGTACCTACGGAGTAGGGATTTAAAAACTAATTTAGGAGAGGGGGGGGGAGGAGAAAGAAAAAGTTTGGGAGGGACCTGACCGGGGTTTCCTCTGGCGTCAAATGGGTGTGGCGCATTCTCCCGCAATTGGGGAAGACCTTAATTATTAGTTATTAATTACCGGGAAAGCAGATAAAATGACGTCCCACGTCCGAACGTCGTCCCGAGAAGAGAATATGAGGTAACCGACGAACAAGGAATCGGGAACGGCTTCCCGATCACTACATAGCCGAGGAATGGATAAACCACATCCACCGTCGATCTCCAAATTCTCAAGTTAGACAGTACATACATAGGTATGTTAAGTTTGTGAGAGTCATACATACTCTGCAAAGATGAGTGAGTTGGCAAGAGAGAGAGAGAGAGAGAGAGAGAGAGTGTGTGTGTGTGTGTACGTACATGCATACTCGGAGAATACACAATTCAAAATAACAAGGACTCCACCGGATCTAAAATTCTTGTCGTTTCTTTGGCGGTTGAATTTTCGACGGCCCCATGGGCTCTCCTCCGTGATGTCATTGCGGGTGCGAAATCCTAAGCATTTGCTTACGGTGAGTGGACCTAATGAACCATCCACAGATACGGAGGTAATGCTTAACCTATTGTATTGGATTTCCGCATGCGGTTGCGGCGACTCCACCCACATAAGAAACGGTATACTCAAGACACCTAGGGCTCAGCAGTTTGGTGAAGCGTCACCATGGATGCTGATTCCTGAATCAAAGTACGGAGAAATGTCGTCGCCACAATCGAACCCCCTCTTCTCCGTCTCCATTCAAGGGGTCTTGAAGGGATAGAAATACCCCCCCCCTTCTCCTCGATCTCCACGTTCCTCTCTGTACTTCTTTTCATGATCTTTTTTTCTATCTCTCTTTCTCAATAGAATTAGACTATCCTTGATCTAAAACCCCTCCTGTAAACATATTGATTGGGGGGAAACAGAGTCTTTTTGTTATTTATTTTTGGCTGCCGGACTCTGGCTACTCAGTTGATTCAACTTCACCATGGCGCCCACCTACGCCGGTATGTCGGGCAAGCCACTGTCCCTGGCTATCTCGACTGTTGCTACTATGGGTTTCTTGTTGTTCGGATATGACCGTCAGTTAAAATTCCCCGCAAGTCAAACAACCCTTCTAACTGGTACCAGAGGGTGTGATGTCTGGTATTATCAGCGACCCAGCATTCAACGACGTATTTACTGCTACAAAGGACAATCCTACAATGCAGGCCCTTGTAACTGCAGTATATGAATTAGGTAGGTTGCCGTGTTTTTTTTTTTTGAGCTATCCCTTACTAACCTGCATCACCCCTTGGTATAGGCTGTCTCGCGGGTGCTTTATTTGCCCTAATGTTCGGCGATAGGACCGGTCGACGCTGGATGATCTTCTCCGGTGCTATTGTCATGATTATCGGGGTGACTATCCAGGTCACCTCCTTCTCAGGCCATATCCCTCTTCTTCAATTCTTCATTGGCCGTGTTATCACTGGTATCGGAAACGGAATGAACACCTCCACCATCCCCACATACCAGGCCGAATGCTCCAAGACCAGCAACCGTGGTCTGCTTATCTGTATCGAGGGCGGTATCATTGCTATCGGCACTGCGATTGCATACTGGATTGACTATGGTGCCCACTACGGTCCTGATGACTTGGTCTGGCGTTTCCCCATTGCCTTCCAAATCGTTTTCGGTATCTTCCTGGTCGTCGGCATGTGGTTCCTCCCTGACTCGCCTCGGTACCTGATCTCCAAGGACCGTATCCAGGAGGGAGAGTACGTCCTTGCTGCACTTGGCGGATATGAAATCCACGACCATGAGACTCAGGTGCAGAAGCAGCTTGTCCTGGATTCACTCAGAGCGTGCGTACCCTAACCTTTACTCCCACGCCATCATGCCCTCCAGTCCCGTGCAGGTATAACTGACCCTACATAGATCCAACGCGCTTGGTCAAAAGACTACCTACCGCGATCTCCTCACCGGTGGGCCCTCTCAGCATTTCCGCCGCATGATGATCGGATCTTCCTCTCAGATCTTTCAGCAACTGGGTGGTTGCAATGCGGTCATCTACTATCTTCCCGTCTTGCTCAAGTCGTCTCTGCACGAGGGAGAGGACATGGCCCTGCTAATCGGTGGTATCAATATGATCGTCTACGCCGTTTTCGCCACCTTTTCTTGGTTCTTCATCGAGCGCATTGGTCGTCGCAAGCTCTTCCTCGGCGGTTCTATCGTCCAAACCATCGCTATGATCATTACGTTCGGTTGTTTGATCCCTGGTAATCAGCAAGTCTCCAAGGGCGCCGTCTTTGGACTCTTCCTCTACATGGCCGCCTTTGGTGCCGCCTGGCTCCCACTACCCTGGCTATATCCTGCTGAGCTTTCCCCCGTACGCACGCGAGCCAAGGCTAACGCTGTATCCACTTGCAACAACTGGCTGTTCAACTTTACCATTGTGATGATCACCCCTGTTATGATCGCCAACATCGGCTGGGGCACGTATCTCTTCTTTGCGGTGATGAACGCCCTTTTCATCCCTGTTATCTGGTTCTTCTATCCCGAGACCGCCAACCGAAGCTTGGAAGAAATTGATATCATCTTCGCCAAGGGATATAGCGAGAACATCAGCTACGTCACGGCATCTCAGGAGCTGCCTAAGCTGCACGATCACGAAATCGAGGCCAGGGCAGCCGAATACGGCTTCGGTGGCACGGACACATCCAGTGAGGTTGAAAAGGCCGTTGCTGAGCACTCTGGTTCCACGACTCCTGAGTTGTCTGATTAAAATCCGGTGTTTGTTTGTTTTTTTTTTGGTATCTCGTATGAAAACGAGAGAGAGAGAGAGGGAAAGAAAATAAAGCTACGCCTTACATACCACTATGCGGGCCATGACGGTGGTATGGTTGTTACACATACCTGCAGATAAAATGACCTCTTTTTCCTCTCTCTCTCTCTCTCTTTTTTTTTTTTTTTCCTTGTGATTTATTGATGCCCTCATGACAATTATCGGTTCATTGATAGACGGTTTGCTTGGTTTATACCCCGGAGATCTAAACCCGTGGATCGGGCTACTGGTGGTCTGTTTGGTTTGGTTTGAGATTTCTTATAGATATGATATAACTCCATGTGTATATGGTTTGCCCTGGTTATCGGGCACTGCTTATGATAGAGCGATGTCTTTTGCATTGAACTGAATTTTTTATCCCATGTTCAACTTCGAAGCTCTAAACTTATACTGCTGTGAGTGGATCGAGTGGTCTGCCAGACGATATGACGGGGCCTATCCTATATTGACCTAAAATAACTTCCATCGTCTCCCAATTAGATGGCCCAGGCTTAAGAAGTAGCCCGTAAGAACTCGTTCCATGTAATGTAGAGGCTATTGGTTGCCTGTTGTGAGTCACATTGTCAGTCATCAAGGAGATATAGTTGAGGAGTTATTAGTTATGACACTGAAGAAGGAAAAAACACTCAGCTGTCAAGTTAAACGCAACAAGTCCTCTTTCAGCCACTTTGCATCTGCAGGTCGGAGGAGATCTTGGTTGATTCCGCACAAGGAGAATTTCATGCAAGGGATTCGTTTATTTACGTTGCTCTGAAGGTTTCTCGTGCGTATTTATGCCACAGTTTAGTCACTGGCCACGGCTGAGTTTCTGGATAGTCACAATTAAGCAGAATCCAAAGCTTAGAAGTCTCGAGCTGAACGAACAGCTGATGATGACTGTGGTGTTGGTTGTGATCGGCTGATCTTGTTGCTGTCCACTGAGAAAGTTTCCGCCTGTCTCCTCAGCTCCCCTCATCTTCCGCTCTCTTCCTCCTCGCCTCCGGCTATCCCTCGAATAATTTCTTCTTATTTGCTCTGTATCCCCTTCCTTTCTCCCTCCGTCCTTTCTCAACTCGCGCATTCCTCTTCCTCCCTCTTACTTCCCCGGACCGCCAGTATTGACATTGCTGGATCATGCAAATCCAGCTTTCCCTCAGCCCCGCCTTTGCCTTTGCCTCTACCCCACCATGAGCTCCTCTCTCGAGGCTAAGATTGTCGTCTTGGGCGCGCAAGGTACGTCTCCAACGACCCTAGTGCTCTTCTAATGCATAGTTATAAAACGAGCGAACGAACTGACTAACTTTATTTTAATTTTTTTTTTTTTTTTAAAAAAAAACTAGGCGTAGGCAAAACCTCCCTCGTCCAACGCTACGTCAAGAACGCCTTCAATGCAGCCGCAACAACCTCCACTGTAGGCGCATCCTTCGCCACCAAGCGCGTGCTTGACAGTGCCTCAGACACCATCGTCCGCTTGCAGATCTGGGACACCGCCGGCCAGGAACGCTTCCGGAGTATTTCCCGGCTTTACTACCGAGGCGCGAACGCCTGTCTGCTCTGCTACGATATCACCGATGAACAAAGCTTCCAGGAGATGACCGGGTGGCTACTTGAGTTGAAGAAGAACCTGGGGGGCGGCAGCGACGATGGCGACAACAGCCCCATTGTGATTCACGTCGTTGGCACGAAATCAGATATTGTCGCCCTGGACCCGGCGCGGAGACGGGTGCCCTTTGAACGGACAATCGCGTATGTTGCAGAACAGCTATATCCGTCGCGTGCGTCGACACCGCCGCCTACCGCGGGGGGCCGTTCATTTGGGCATTCCTCTGGCGCGACGTTGCAGGGGATAGATAGTAAGCGGAGTAGTGGGTTCTGGGGCCAGGATATTGGGTGGGACTGTTGTCATGAAATCAGCGCCAAGGACGGCGAGGGTGTCGAGGAGGTGTTCCGTGTCATTGCGCGGAAGTTGGTCGAGCAGCGCAATAAAAGGGAAGCAGGCATTGCGGGGATGATGTCACCCGGTTCATCGTCTGGGGTGGATGGGATTTCATCTGCTGGGTTTGGTGCGAACGGACCGTTTGATGGCAATAATTCTGGCGGAAGTTTCCGGATTGGGGTTAATGATAAGCGGCGCAGTTGGTTGATGTTTCCACCTAGCAGTGTGGGGGATGAGGGGGATGAGGCGCTGGAGGTTGTGAAGAAGAGGGGGAGATGTTGTTGATGATGGTTTTTGTTGACTGCCACCTTATTATACCAAGGTCGTGGGCTGTTGGTTTTCGTCGTGCACTTTTTCTTTTCTTTTCTTCTCTTGTCTTTTCTTGTCTTTTCTTGTCTTGTCTTTTCTTTCTCTTCTTTTCTCTTCTCTTCTTTTCTCTTCTCTTCTTTTCTCTTCTCTTTTTTTCTTGGTCTCTTGCATCCCATGCATCTTATCTGTTTTGCAACATGGCTGGCTTGGCGTTTTCGCATATCCCCTTTTTTTCCTTTGCTGATTGATGGGCTGGCTTTCTTTCGATCTTGTTCATTCCGACACCAGATACAATGTTGGTATGGTTGGATACAGGAGTACGTGGCCGAGGCGCGGGCGCCTCGGGGAACTTAGAAGGATTGGATTATTATGATTCATGTTATTATGGTATGAGATGTCTGATGTAGTTATGCTAATTATTAGATACTATCTGTTGTGGAATACCTCCCAAGCTGTTCAAACGTAGGCAAGAAGCAGCTTTCAATCTTCAGGTAGTCGAAAACAACAGACACAGAAGGTAAATCAACCACTTCACTCGCAAAGCCTACTTGTTCATACATAGTTCTCCGAGTCAATATGGCCGCAAGTGTATCTGTTATGTTCTAATGGATCTATAAAAGTTCCTCGACCATACGGTAATCGAGGTGGCAAACAAACCCGCACACTCACATCACATCACTTGAGAGGAAAGAGAAGAAAAGAAAGAAAACAGAAAGCATTCATTATCTTGTCCACTCAAGCTGGCATACAAGCTGCCCATCGACCTCTCAATGAACGAAGCAAGTGAGGTCGGGTTTAGAAAGGTCTACTTTAAAACAGTGTGCGGGGGAGACATATATCGTAGTACCTGGAGGTAAATTAGCTGTCAAAGATCACAACAAATACGAGAAAAAAAAAAAAGTGAAGACTTACTAGTATATTAGAAGGAAAGAGATCATATTATAACCTTGGACATACACTCTACGAGTTTTTAGAAGCTGTGGTCATACCCCGTCAGTCAACCTGGTGCTGCTTATGGTGAATTAGATACCTCCAAGCACGACTATGCAGTTTCACATGTTCAATCTGCTTTATTTGCATTCCTTTTGATATTTTTGGTTGCCACTTGTGATTCTTGTAGTTCTTACTAGGTTCTTAGCATGTATGCGATACGTGTACGAGGTTTCCCCTCACTCAAGCACAACTCATCACCAGAATACATACAATTTGGTTAGCTCTTGGGGGGTTTGAACATATTCTCAAACATCTCAGTGCAGCCGGAATAGCCCTGCAAGGTCGACGCAACGGTTGGCAGAAAACTTCTCCATAGATATAAGGCGAGCGGAGAGGATGAAACTCAACCATCACGGCAATTGTAGATTGCAGAGAAGTGTGGCATTCCTCTTCCTAATCGGGAAGCGCTCAGCCGGCTACCGAATACCGAACGGAGTCGAGGGATCGACGGTAGTATTTTGTCCGCTGCATTGGGCAACTTATCGTAGATTTGCCAGTACTAATTATTTCTGTGTTCATCAAGCACACTATTCAAAGTATGAGTCTATAGAGAGAGAGAAAGAGAGCCATTTGTATTCTTTTCGTTATCGAAAAGGTCAAGTCGCAAGCCCCGAACAGACAACACCCACAATATAATATGATAAAGGTGTACACTGTACAGTACACGGGTAAACCCTTTTGCAGTTCGCCAATTAACCACTAGTGAAATCGCCCATGGCTGGATCGGGGAGGGTTTCAGCTGGGGCCCTGGTCAGAGGAGATCGAGGGGCCAGTAAGAGCGACACGGTACAGACTAGTGGGACGTTTGGGATAGACTTGATTGCGGCGTGGATCATAACCAGATCTGTGTACGCGATAGCTGGCAAGGTCACCCAGTCTAGGAATGTGCACGGGAAAAGAAAACAGTTTGAATAGGAGAGCAAGTAGAAGCATTGTTGAATTGGGTAAGAAATCCGAGTTCAGACACCCGAGGATGCGATGCTTACCTCATCTGTGTTCGGAATCATGTAATAATACACAACTTCGCAGTATCCACTTGGTATTATCATACAGAATAGGCAACAGACCACCGTAAATAGAAGAGAGACATGATTCACAATAATATATCCGGTTTTTTTCTTCTTGTAGGCCTCGTAGCAGTAGGAGGGACTCTGTGAATCTGTGAAAGAAAAAAATGTACCTGTAGTAGGTATTTCCCCAAGTAGATCTTGTATAACTACTACTACCTATGTACCGCCTCGGGTCTTAACTAAATTATCGCTGCTGACGAATTGTAATTCCTAGAAGCTAATAAGCCTCCCTCGATCTACCTCTAATTGGCGTTGTTCGTCCTCTTTTAATTTCCCTCCCGGAATTTTTAATTTCTGGGAACCGTCAAATCTTTCACACTCCAAGAGACTCAGCTCTGGACTAACTTAGTACCAGCTAGTAGGGACTAAGTAGTACGTACTCCCGGACAACGTACCAGAGTACTGCTAAGTTCTAGGTATTCCTTCTCGCTCTCATGTCCCTCCTCCTCCCCTGACTCGTTTTCCTCCCCGTCGCACCTTCGTTTTCGTTCTTTCCTTCCTTTCTCCCATAGAGTTCTTGAATATTCACACTGCTACCAGGGTTATGAAATGAGAGTATCCCACCGCATCGGGGCGGCTGCCCTCCTTATCATCCTCATCTTCCTCATCAAGCGCCATCTCGATTCTACCACCGACGCCCCCCGTCCTAAAACCCTCTGGAACTACAACGTTGGCAGCAAATCCGACAATTCCGAGTTCGATCTCTGGAAATCAAAATGGTCTGCTTCAGAAGCCGGCGTCTCTCGACAGGAGTACGAAACTACCCCCATTGTCGTGCCTAACGATCGGGTCATCGTTATGGCCAGATTGTCGACCGAGGATACCAACTGGGTCAGCGCTGATTTGGCAGAGTATATATTCCCTATTGTTTTTTTTTTCTGTTCTTCTTTTATCCTTTTTAAACTTCTTGCGCTTTCTCAACGAGGGTTGTTGCCTAATTGTTCTTCCTTTTAGTTGGCGAAATTACATTTACACCGTTGACGACGTCAATGCCCGGAAACACACTCCCAAGAACAAAGGCCGCGAGAGTCTGGCCTACCTTCAGTACATAGTGGAGCACTACGACGACCTCCCCTCGACCATTGTCTTCCTTCACAGCCATAAAGATGGATGGCCTGCTGCCTGGCACACGGACACCATGGACTACAGCAACGTGGAATCAATTCGCGCCCTTCAAACCGACTTTATCCAGCAGAACGGCTACGCCAATTTGCGATGCCAGGAGACCCCTGGCTGTCCCGATGAAATTAGACCCTTCCGCGACCCTCCCCGACCGGGCAAAACTGTAGAAAAGATCTACGCCCAGGCTTGGCAGGAGTTGTTCCATAACACCAACGTCCCCGAGGTGATTGGTGTGCCGTGTTGTTCACAGTTTGCAGTTTCTCGCGATCAAGTTCTAAAGCGCCCCTTGAGTGACTACCAACGATTCTACAACTGGGTGTTGAACAACGATCTCCCAGATGATATGACATCGCGAGTGATGGAGTATACTTGGCATATAATATTTGGACAGGATCCGGTTTAGTACGTTCCTCTATCCTCTCTACCCGGGGCCTATTTGCTAACGAGCACAGTTGTCCCGACGTTTTCCAGTGTTACCAAGATGTCTACGGCAACCCCTATTTCTGGTGATTCTTGTATATAAATACCCTTTTATTCTTCACTGCATTTCCCCTTTTTCTCCCCTGCATTTATGATGATATATGTGACTACATTTCGCTTCTGCCTATACGGCATTTGTTGTATATTAATCAACTTTTGCATCAAAACTGGCCATTGACCATTATTTTTTTGCTGGCTGTGTGTAGAATGGAAGTTCCAAAGCGGCAGACATTCTACTAGCGCTGATTCCGCATCCCTATTCTAGATAACAAAATCACATCAAACTACGAAGATATTCTGACATTCAGCTCTTGGAGTAAGGTAGTGGAGGCCACTAGCGGTTGTACTCCCTGAGCACAAAGGCCTTGATTGTGCGTGGCCTTTGGCGCATAAACTGTGGCCTTTCCGTGCTGTGGCTTGCGGTGTCGCCATGCGGCCGTACTGGTAACTAATTGGGTCTAGGCCGAAGATGGCTAAGCACCGTATTGGATTGATCCTCAGGCATCAGTCTCACTTGATTGAGCCTCCCACTTCCAACACGGCTTTGACTCTTTACATTTCCCAACCTTACCCCCGCGAATTCTCCCCTTGCAGCAACCTACATATATAGAACCCGATTCGATCTCGTTTGATTACAATTCTCAAAATGAACGGGACAGAATCCGTCGAGTCCCAGTGGCTCACGCAACTCACGGCCATGCGCCAGGCCATTGCCGATCTGAAGCTCCCCAACCCCACCACCGACCAGCTCACGTACGGTAGCGACTTGGATTTGGATCTTGACGATGACTATTCCTCCCCCGGAACGGTCGATGATGTTTGGGACTTGATCAGCTCCGACGATGAGTCTACTGGTGAGAGTCTAGACGAAATCGACGATCTACCTCTGCCTCCGAGCTCTATGCAATACGATCAGACTTGGCTAGAACAGAGATGCCAACTTCTCGCATACAAGAATCCTGGGGTGGATGCGAACGAGCTAGTGCAGCAGCTGACGGCCTCCCTGGCCACCGATAGTAGAGATGACGAACTACAAATGTCGCTTGCTGAAATCGTTGGATTCGACGACTTGGATTTTGTGATTGAGTTGATCGCACATCGGAGGGAGATTCTGGGGAGCATAAATACGGGCTCAAAGACCCAGGCACAAACGGATGGTCTTGCGTTGGGTGGTTTGCAGACAAGGGCTGAGAGAGAGCAGGCTCTACGGCGGCAGGACTACGAGCACAAACATACCCCTCTGCTTCCCGAACAAGTGCGACAGGAGCCGAAATATCCCCATGTTTTCAAAAGGCACGATTCAAGGAACGTCTTAGCCTTGAACGGGAAGAGCTATGGATTGCCTGTGGGTAGTAAACAGATTGACGAGCAGAGGTATACGGAGGTTGAGGTTCCAGCTGCGAAAGTGGGTACTCTCGCAGCTCAACAAAAGTTAGTCGAGATATCATCTCTGGACGGGCTGTGCCAGGGAACTTTCAAAGGCTACAAAGCATTAAACAGGATGCAGAGCTTGCTGTATGAAGTCGCGTACAAAACGAGTGAAAATATGCTCATTTGCGCCCCCACTGGTGCTGGTAAAACGGATGCCGCTATGCTGACCATTTTGAACGCGATCGGGAAGAACACCGTTCCTAGCCCTGTGGAACAGCCCGATGCAACTGATTTCACGGTACTAGTAGACGATTTCAAAATTGTTTATGTGGCACCCATGAAAGCTCTAGCGGCTGAAGTCACCGAGAAGCTCGGAAAACGCCTCGCCTGGCTTGGAATTCAAGTCCGCGAGCTGACTGGCGATATGCAGTTGACAAAGCGCGAGATTGTAGAAACTCAGGTCATAGTCACAACCCCTGAAAAATGGGACGTGGTGACCCGAAAAAGCACTGGGGATACAGAGCTAGTACAAAAGGTACGCTTGCTGATTATTGATGAGGTCCATATGCTTCATGATGAGCGTGGTGCGGTCATCGAGTCATTGGTAGCCCGTACCCAGCGTCAGGTAGAAAGTACACAGTCGCTTATTCGCATCGTCGGTCTTTCCGCAACTCTGCCTAACTATATCGATGTCGCCGACTTTCTCAAAGTCAACAAAATGGCCGGACTATTCTTCTTTGATTCCTCCTTCCGCCCAGTCCCTCTAGAGCAGCATTTCATCGGCGTGAAAGGCAAAGCAGGGTCCAAGCAATCTCGCGACAACATTGATATTGTGGCTTTTGAGAAGGTCCGCGATATGCTCGAGAGAGGGCACCAGGTCATGGTATTTGTGCACTCACGTAAGGACACAGTCTTGACTGCGCGCATGTTGCGCCAAATGGCCATCCAGGAGGGATGTGAATCGCTATTTAGCTGTCACGAGCATGAAAATTATTCCAATGCTCTTCGAGACATGAAACACGCTCGTGCCCGTGAGTTACGGGATCTGTTTGCCAGTGGCTTCGGTACACACCATGCTGGAATGACTCGAAGTGACCGAAATCTGATGGAGCGCATGTTCTCTGAGGGCCTGATTAAGGTGCTATGCTGTACAGCTACACTTGCTTGGGGTGTTAATCTTCCAGCTGCTGCAGTTGTTATCAAGGGGACTCAGTTGTACAACCCGCAGGAAGGTAAATTCGTTGATCTCGGTATTCTCGATGTCTTGCAAATTTTCGGTCGTGCTGGTCGTCCCCAGTTCCAAGATACGGGTATCGGTTTTATTTGTACCACCCACGACAAGTTGAACCACTATCTTTCTGCTATAACGTCGCAACAGCCGATTGAGTCCCGCTTCTCAAGTAGACTAGTGGATAACTTGAATGCTGAGATCTCACTCGGCACAGTCACATCAGTTTCAGAGGCAGTTCAATGGCTAGGATATTCCTATCTATTTGTGCGCATGAAACGCGAGCCACGCAATTATGGAATCGATTTCGCTGAGATGAGGGATGACCCCATGCTGGTCCAAAGACGTCGTCAACTTATCATTCAAGCTGCTCTTGTTTTGCAAAAGAGTCAGATGATTATCTTCAACGAGAAAACTGAGGAGCTTAGATCGAAAGACGTCGGTCGGATTGCCAGTCAATACTACGTGCTGCAAACTAGTATTGAAATATTCAATGAAATGATGCGTCCTCGATCTGGAGAAGCCGATATCCTGCGGATGATCAGTATGAGTGGTGAATTTGATAACATCCAATCTCGCGAAAATGAGTCGAAAGAGCTCAACAGATTACGCGAGGAGGCAATCCAGACTGAGGTGGACGGGGGCAATGATTCTCCCCATGCAAAGACCAATATCTTGCTGCAGTCCTACATTTCTCGTGCTAAAATTGAAGACTTTGCTCTAGTCTCTGATACTGGTTACGTTGCACAAAACGCCGCACGTATATGCCGTGCCTTATTTATGATTGCATTGAACAGACGTTGGGGTTACCAATGCCAGGTTCTTCTGTCCTTGTGCAAGTCTATTGAGAAACAGATTTGGCCCTTCGACCATCCGTTTCGTCAATTTGACCTACCGCAACCGATACTTAAAAATCTTGACGAAAAGCTCCCAACCTCGTCGATTGAGTCGATGAGGGATATGGAAATCGCAGAAATTGGCCAGCTCGTTCATAATAATAGGATGGGCAAGACGTTATCTAAATTGCTGGATAACTTCCCAACACTTACTGTTCAGGCCGAAATTGCACCGCTGAACCGTGATGTCTTACGCGTACGCCTTTGCCTCTACCCCGAGTTTACTTGGAACGACCGCCACCATGGTGCTTCAGAGTCATACTGGATCTGGGTTGAGAACTCGGAAACATCAGAAATTTACCACCACGAGTACTTCATTTTGAACAGGAAAAAGCTTTACGATGACCATGAACTAAACTTCACTATCCCGCTTTCGGACCCGCTGCCCAGTCAGATATATGTCAGAGCAATATCCGATCGCTGGCTGGGCGCAGAGACAGTTACACCGATATCATTCCAGCACCTCATCCGCCCAGATACCGAAAGTGTATATACCGATCTTCTCGACCTCCAGCCTCTTCCAATCTCTGCTCTCAATAACCCAATTTTAGAAGAGCTGTATGGGCAGCGCTTCCAATATTTCAACCCAATGCAGACGCAGATATTCCACCTTCTTTACCACACTCCAGCCAATGTCCTCCTGGGATCCCCGACCGGTAGTGGAAAGACAGTTGCTGCAGAGCTGGCCATGTGGTGGGCTTTTAGGGAACGACCGGGTTCAAAGGTTGTGTACATTGCACCGATGAAAGCTCTTGTTCGTGAGCGTGTCCAGGACTGGAGGAAGCGCCTCACAGCAGCAATGGGCCTAAAGCTTGTCGAGTTAACTGGAGACAACACCCCCGATACACGCACAATCCGAGATGCAGATATCATTATTACGACTCCTGAAAAGTGGGACGGTATCTCCCGTAGCTGGCAGACAAGAGATTACGTCCGAAAAGTTAGTCTGGTGATCATCGATGAGATTCACTTGTTGGGTGGCGATCGTGGGCCTATTCTTGAAATCATCGTATCTCGCATGAACTACATTGCTTCGCAATCAAAGGGTTCCGTGCGTTTGATGGGTATGTCTACTGCCTGTGCCAACGCCACGGATCTTGCAAATTGGCTGGGAGTTAGGGAAGGGTTGTATAACTTCCGACACTCTGTTCGACCTGTACCACTCGAGATTTATATTGATGGATTCCCGGAGCAACGTGGGTTCTGTCCCCTTATGCAGTCGATGAACCGGCCTACTTTCCTGGCGATCAAAAGTCACTCCCCGGAGAAACCTGTGATTGTATTTGTCGCTTCTCGAAGACAAACACGACTGACAGCTAAGGACCTGATCAACTTCTGTGGAATGGAAGATAACCCACGTCGATTCGTTCGCATGTCGGAGGAAGACCTACAATTGAACCTTGCGAGAGTGAAAGACGATGCCCAACGTGAGGCTCTGTCTTTCGGCATTGGTCTTCATCACGCCGGTTTGGTCGAATCAGATCGTCAACTGGCTGAAGAGCTATTTGCAAACAACAAGATTCAGATTCTTGTCGCAACGAGTACCCTCGCATGGGGTGTTAACCTTCCTGCACATCTCGTGGTTGTCAAAGGAACCCAATTCTTCGACGCCAAAACCGAAGGCTACAAGGACATGGATTTGACTGATGTTTTGCAGATGCTGGGTCGTGCCGGTCGTCCACAGTTTGACTCATCTGGTATTGCCCGCATTTTCACTCAGGACTCAAAGAAGGCCTTTTACAAGCACTTCTTGCATACTGGTTTCCCGGTCGAATCAACCTTACACAAGGTCCTAGATAATCACTTGGGAGCCGAAGTCTCCGCAGGTACCGTCACCACGAAACAGGATGCTCTTGATTACTTGACCTGGACATTCTTTTTCCGGCGTTTGCACAAGAATCCATCCTACTATGGTCTGGAGATCTCGGCCGATCAGCACAACTCTCTCGAAGCACAGAGCTTAGCCCAAGACTTTATGATTGACCTAGTCGATAAGTCACTCGAGGAGCTCTCAGAATCTACTTGTATCGTATTGGATTCAGCAACAGGTGACGTCGATGCAACCCCGTTCGGCAAGATTATGAGCTACTATTATCTCTCACACAAAACAATCCGCTACTTGCTGTCCCACGCAAAGCCAGTTCCTACCTTTCATGACGTGCTTAGTTGGATGTGTTCCGCAACCGAGTTCGACGAATTGCCCGTTCGGCACAACGAGGACCTTATAAATGCCGAGCTCTCTCGCAATTTGCCTCTCTCGGTCGACCCAATGGGAGATCTACCCATGTGGGATCCGCATGTCAAAGCCTTCCTGTTGCTCCAGGCATATATGTCACGCATTGATCTCCCGATCTCCGATTACGTTGGCGATCAAACTTCCGTTCTAGACCAGAGTATCCGTATTATCCAGGCATCTATCGACGCTATGGCTGAACTAGGCTACACACACGCATGCTACACCTTTATTAATCTCCTGCAATGCATCAAATCCTCTCGGTGGCCAGAGGACAACCCACTCTCGATCCTCCCCGGCGTCGATGCAAGCAGCGCTCCATCTTCATTGCCTAGTTCCCTCAACGCTCTTGTCTCCCTCCCCTCAGGCGCTATCTCATCTCTCGCTGCAAAGCTCCAGCTCCCACCAACAACATCCAACCAATTCGCCAAAGCCGTATCCCAACTCCCTCAACTATCGATGTCCGTCCCAACTATTACCTCCACGGGGATCACCGTGTCCCTAACCCGCAAGAACCGCCCCATAAACTCTGAATACCGCATCTACGCGCCCAAGTTCCCGAAACCCCAGACAGAAGGCTACTTCCTCGTTGTCTGTAGCGCCAAATCAGACGGCCAGGATGGCGACCTCCTCGCCTTGAAGCGAGTGTCGTGGCCCAGTACTAAGAACAACACTGGTCGCCCTGGTTCCAGCAAGCCGCTGCGGGATAGGACAGGCCCGTTGTCGACAAGTTCTTCAGTCAAGTTCCCACGGAACCTGCCCATGCCGAAGGGTGTTAATGTGAAAGTGATAAGTGATTCGTATCCGGGGATGGAATGGGCGATCCCGACGGTAGATGTGGATTTGGGACCGCCGAGCCAGCCCGTTCCAGAGTCATCGAATTATCCGAGGAAGGGTTAAAACGCACCTCTGATTAGTTTTAGGCTAAGGAGTAACTTTCTTATAGTTACGCATCTAATATCCAAGTCAAGGTGCAAAATATCCATTATTTAAATATTGTATGTAGAGAGAGAGAGTGAGTGTGTGTGTGTGTAAATATATAGAAATTTATAGATCCAAAAGAGCGGGTACTAAAGAACTCATCATGATGGAATTGCCGATGCAAACCCCTATATATATATAACGAACGATCATCAAGAAAGAAAACTCAGGGTCCAAAGACCCCCTAAAATATTGTGAATGACAAAAAGAAAGGTATTTCCAGTGATGGAAGAATACTGCTGCTACCTGCGCATTTGAAAAGAAACAAGAAAAAAAGGGGGAGAGCAATATCGAAACCCCCAGGCTAACTACCCATACAGCCAACCAACCCAGCGTCAGTGTTGAATGAATATAAAATGAAACGAACTAGAAGAGAGAAAAGAAAAAAAAAAAAAATAATTAGGCCATTTCAATTCTTGCATCTTGGGAATTTCCGTGTCGGTGGCCGTATTGGCCATCGGTGACTTTGGGCGTATTGACTCGCTTGACAACCAGGCGCTCGTTGGTGTTCAACCGGTCAGCGCGCGGTCGAACCGGCACGATAACCTGTTTCTTACCCCTGGAGACGGAGACGGATCTCGCGACTGACACTTCAATCGCGGGGATCGCGTCGTGGTTGCGCGGGAGATGCGCTGATCGGGGAGTCAGCCCTGTGGGTTTGGGGCCTATAGGGGATGATGATGATGATGATGATGATGATGATGATGATGACAGTGCTTGGCCGTCGCGTCGTTTCACGGCGCTCAGGGGAGATAGCAGGGAGGAGGCGGGGGAGGAGGAGGGCGAGGTCGAGCGGCTGTTTGTGGCACTTGGGCGGAGATTCTGTGTGTCGAGTCTGAGTTTCGGCTTTGGTTCCTCGACTTGTTGGTTTTTTCTATGGACCATCATCTCCCACTGGGGTTCTTGCGCGTCGACGTGGTTTGGGGTTATGTCTACTTTATGAGCGAGCTGCGGTTCCGCGCCTGGTCCTGAAGTGGCGGACTCTTGTGGCTGATGATGCGATGGTGGTGGTGGTGGTTGTTGTTCTTGGACGGAGACGGGGAGGGTAACATGATCATCTTCATCTTCGCTCGCAGGACTTTCCGGCCGTGATTCTAACGGGTGTGTCGGGGTTTTGCGCAAAATATCGGTGCCCTGCGGTAGGTTGTGAGAGCCCAGGACTTTCGATGCTTTGGTTGTCGGGGTCGTGGGAAACAAGGTGAAGTTGGGTGATCTGGAACGGGTTGGGGACGTTGCTCGTCGTCGCGGTGGCTCGAATAGGGGTAATTCCTAGTAGATTGTGTTAAGTCCTCCTCCTGTATACAGTCCCGAAGAGAAGTAACTTACTTCGTTCTTTTTGACGGCCACACCATCCAGGGTTCTACTCCGTCTGTTCCATGAAGAAGGCTGACCCTTCTGCAAAAGACCGCCAAACATCACACTATACCTTTCCATCTCCACGTTCGGGATTTCCACCTGGAGTAAAGGACCTGGCGGCGCATGGGGCTCTGATTCGGGGACCAGACAGGGCCAGGCCTCCGTATTTTGAACAGGGCTCCGCTGGGTTTCCACTGCCGGTCGAGATTTCAAGTCTACTGAATGGGAGGAAGAATCTTGCAGTGGCCAGTCATTACCGGAGCGAACCTGATAAAACGGCTTGTTCACATTTGCTGCCATTGCGCTCTTCGCCTTGAATAACCCCCCGATTTTCCTCCATTTACTTGACTTGCGCAGCAACGCTTGGGGGTCTTCTCCCTCTGGAACCGGAGGCGGCGGGCTCTGTTGCGTCTGCGCCGTCATGCTCTCGGGTTCTCCCAATCCCGGACCTCCTAAGGCGATACCAATCATGGCGGCGTCTCCTCTCGAGCCCGTCCCTGTTGGCGACTGGACAGCAGCGGCAGGCGGGCCAGCCATTCGAAAATCGAGCCCCGGTGGTGGCGGAACACCCTCGGTTTTCTCTGTTTTCTTCATGCGCCGGTCTTGCGACGTGGTCGGGCGTGGATCCAACCACGGGGACTGGTGAATTGGACGACTGTAGCTGACGCCATGGTTGATCGCCTTCAGATCATTTCGTGGAACCGCATCCGAATACTTCAACACCGGGGTCGAGATAGCATCTGTCTGTCGGAGTGGTCGCGATTTTCCCAACTTTCCCCTGGCCATTATCTTCCACTGTTTCAAGTATTTGAGATTTTTTTTAAATGATAGCGATAAACATCAATCAATGTGAAAGAAGGAGAGGAGCGAATGGAAAGAACGTGGGTCTGGGTTAAGAGACAGAAGAGAGGGACAGAGAATCTATCTCAATATCAAAAATCAACCAAAGGAATGGACAGCCTTCCAGAAGGCCTAATTAGGTATGAACAAAAGGGGGAGGAAAGAAATTGAGAGAGAAAAGGTCAAGCAAGCATGGTGTACACGGCAGAGTCAATAAGTTAATAAGAAAGCCTTATGACAACGGTGCGGCAGACGTAGTGGAGCTGTTTCCCAAAGCCCTAATAACATCACGATGGGACAAGGAACAGATGGTTGGTTGGCGCAAAGATTTTAGATTACTCCCAGTATACGGAACCTAAGATATGAAGCAACCAGCGAAGATCAGCCAACAAGATCCTCAGGGTTAAATTGTCGCAGCCGTCCAAGTCGCCCGAGTCGGGACTATGTAGAGATTAAATTACGCCTGCAGGGGCCCGACAGACATCCAAGTCAGGATTCCTCTTGGTTTCATTGGTTTCAGCAGGTTTTAGACCCGGACCCGCCTTGACCAATAAATCATAATCCTGACTTTATACGGAGTGCATACGGAGTACATATAGGAGGTAACTAGGAGGTAACTAGGAGAGGTAACTACATAGATATGTACTAGTTCAGATATCTGTCCCGTCAGGATGAGATTAGACGATTCTAATCTTCTTTTCCTTTCTCTATACATATATATATCTCCATATATATAAAGTATATATAGATCTCCGTATATATTTATGGCTGCCATCCTTAGTGGGAGATCATCGGATGCAAGACACGTGCTCCTGCAGCCAGGACTACTTTTCTTACAAGAAATATCTCAAGTACTCTATATCATCGACCTAGGTAGCTGATAATCAAGACCTCTATCAGGATTTTGAGGTTCCTAGTCTCCTAGTCTAATACATATAGCTTGCCGAACAAGAGTAGCGGTGGGCAACTCCAGGGACTATAGAAAATAGTCGCAAGGCATCGAGAAAGTTCAAAACAATAGAGACACGCTGAATGAAGAGACTATTTCAATATGAACCTTCTCAATCAATTCTCACCGTCCAAAATATATCTAGAGCTTTAAAGTGAAAAGGAGCAGAGCGAACTGTCAGGCATTTGAAGTAGAATTGGCGGGGCTCTTTCTCCGTTGCCAGCACAGCCCATGACCCCCACCACCACCACCACCACCACCACCACTTAGTTTCTCTACCTCGACTTCATTTTCCTTCCCACGACTTCTTCATCCCCCCATCTCTTCACATCAAAAAAAAAAAAACAAAAGAATCTCTATACAGCGGTATTGCTGGACGACCGCCCCTCTTCTTTCTTCTTGCTAGCTGTTCTATCCCGCCGCCTCCAGTTGCGATCATCTGCATTTCTACTCCGTACCCCTTTTCCGCTTCCTCAGTCCTTGTTTATTCAACCGCTACCATGGGTGCTCACTCTGCTATCTGGCAAGGTACAACTTCAGATCTCTCCCTTTTCCACCCCTCTTAGCTCTGCCATTCTCTATGACTCTATAACTAACTGCTTGCTGCTACCGTCCAGGCTACGTGGATTCCAGGTACCCAACTTTCTTTCTTGATTATTACCCCGCTCCAAACCAATCTCAACCCCCTCCGGACCTCCGCATTTGTTCGCAATGGTTCTGACGAGTCCACTCTTACAGTTTGATGGGATCCGGTCAATTTGACAAAGCCGCTATCTTAAGTCACGATTTCTCCGGCGTGGAGGCTTCCTCGCCGGGCTTTACGGTAACGCGGATTCCAAAGAACCTCGCTCGCTGGATCCCACCATCACTAACGAATAATCCAGATCTCCCAGGAAGAGATCACCGGTCTGGCCGCTGCCTTCCGGGATACCGGCTATGCTATGCAGCACGGGTTCCACATTGGAGGAGAGAAGTTCCTCGCCATCAAGGCTGACGAGCGCAGTCTGTACGGCAAGAAGGTATTCAGCTCCACTACTGCTTCAGTTCCCCACTTCCATGTCTTGCTTTCCTCGCTCTCTCTATCGTTCCCTTGGACTGATTTTCTTCTTTTCTTTTCTTCCAGGGCAAGGAGGGTGCCATCGTTGTCAGGGCCGTCTCGTGCATTATGGTCGGTCACCACACTGAGGCCGTACAGACCACCAACGCTGCCGCTGCCATCGAGAAGGTCGCCGATTATATCAACGGCGCCTAAGAAAGAGGAAAATCTTGTATGTTGAATTTAGTCCTGGGATCAGACAATATGTCAGCTTCGATTCTTGAAATGTAAATCACAATGGTGGTGCTTTCTAATTCTTTTATCTTCTTCTTCTTCTTTTTCGTCTTCTTCTTTTCCGGCCTTTTCTCCTCTTGTTTAGTATCACCCATGCCACGTAGATATATGCAACATGTACTCTTATAATGCCTTGAATGAATCAGATCAGATACCTGGGGAATGTGCTCTACATGATGAGTGCTTGTTCAGCCGTGTATCTTTCTTGCTGCAATATGAGAGCAGCCTACACTTGTTTTCTGTTCTGTTCTTTCGGGTCCGAACTACACCGAGCTACGCTATCAGGCACCACGATTATAACTCGTGCTTGTTGCTGTGGAGAAGAAAAAAAAAAAAAAAAAAAAAAAAAAAACAGTTTACGATGACTCGCATGTGGCTTTTCTTCCTTTCTCGGATCCTATCTCAAAGCAGGCACTCACTAGATAAATCCTCTCGCGATAATATGGCAAAGTAGAAAACCTGTAAAGGTTTAATCTAATCTAAACTGACATTGCCGCAATTATCATAGCAACCGCGGCACATTATTATATGGATAGTAGTAGAAGTAGTAAGTAATTATAAACATAAGGAAGAGGATCCAACCACCCCCCTCTTCCCGCAGAAGAACATACAGCTCAGCTGTTCATATTTGTCCCTAAAGACGCCCTAAGACACCGTAACACGTGAAGAGTCTTAACATCGTCGAGTTAAAGAGAAAGAGAGAGAGAAAAAAAAAAAACAAGAGGCAGCGCCCACTAGTTATACAGGGAGTTCAGCGTTTCTTCGTCCACCGGCTAATGTCTCCAGGGCACTCTTGATATAGGGTCCCACCACGGGGATGTTACCCGCGAATTGGCCGATTGTGAGGAGGAAATCGCCGAAGAGGATGAAGAGGCCGTAGAGCTCGATCAAGAAGCCCGTGAGAGGCCAGCGCAGGAGGATGAGGAGGATTCCGCAAACAAAGGCAGCGGTGCCTTTGAGTTTTTGGCGGCGCGAGAAGAAAGCGAACGTTTTTTCAAAGCCGATTATCAGAGTCAGCCCGATGAGGAACAGGATCTGGAGGTAGGTTAGATATCTATAAAAAAAAAAGGATTGCGAGAGCGCGGGTCTAGTGGTGGACTTGAGGTGTACGCACATTCCCCATCGCCAGTCTGGAAAGAGGAAGAAGAATGTCAGCAAGAAAATGCTTCGATAGGACTTGGGCATACACACAATGAGCGGTCGAAAAACATCAGAACACCACCGAAAAGGAACAAACCCCCTAGGAAAATTCAATCGTCAATGGCCTGGTTTCTTCTTGTCGCGTGCGTCAAGTGCCGCAGGCTAAGTAGAACAGAAATGCGTCAACCTACCAGCAGAGCAAAAAATCATACCGATTTCTATCCGACGCCATACCAGTTAGTATATACTTATAAGAAATAACCATGATCGGCTTCAGCAGGTAAGAGACATATATGAGAGCAAGCGATTGTTCTTACTTTGGTTATCGGTCATCCACATAGTCGGCATCTTGAAAGTTCGTCACGAGAAAGTATCGCTGGATTTTTTTTAAAAAAAAAAACAAGAGAGAGAAGCGCAAAAATAACAATAAATAGATAAGTAATAATCTTGACTTCTATTCGGGTCTCAAAATATCGAATTCAGCGTATCTTGCTTTCACTTTGCTGCCTCAGGAGGTTCCAGGAAGGTAGGAACTGGGTTAAACTAGACGGAGAGTCTGGCAAAAGACGCCAAGTAGTTTGAAAATGAATCCTGTCCCCTTCTGCGAGACATAGATGTGCGCTGGAGGGCGTTTGTTATCGGATCAGACAAATCAGATATTCTTCAACTGAATTATCAAAAAACTCCAGGTAAACAATTCCCAAGAATCGCGCACAATAACCAGAATTCTGCCACGTCTTTTCCCAAGTTCGTTGGCGCTAATCTGGTTTCGGATGGCGGTCTGTTAGTCGCACACACTAACTTTTCGGGGAAGCTCCTGAATCTCGTTTTTCCATCCACCAAAAATTCATCCAACATGGTCGTGGAAGCGGTCGGCTCGAGCTGCATTAATGAAAGGAAGCAAAGCTTGACTTATTTACGACTATCATGCTCTTTAAAATGGCATTTTCAACTGCAATTAACTAATTCGGATCTGAAGTTTGTGCCACAACTTTGATTAAAGAATCAGGTACAGGTACAGGAGCACATATATACAGCCTTGTTATATCAGTCCGTCCCTCCTTGGAAGTTTCCTTATTTTCGCTCTCAATACGTTCCAATTATCTTTGGCGGAGCTAGTTTCCGTCCCATACGCCGCGGCGACAGCATCCTAGGATGCTGTAACTGATGTTCCATCCGTGGAGCACCGGTACTAGTCGAGTGCTTCAGCACAAGGCGAAGATCAATCCGTATTATAATATACAAGATCACTAATAAGCCGGAGCGTTTTCTTGAGCCTGTCTCGAAAGGGGCACGGTGGGTGGAAAGGGCTTGACTGTGTTGGTCGTACATAACGCTTGTATTGGAATCGTAGTGTCTGAAATGTATTATCAAAGTCAGTCACCCATGACCTGCAATTCTTTAATATGAATCACTGCATCTGCATACCCTAGTCGTTACGCATCCACATATAAAATCGAATTCGTCCTGATGGATCCTGTCATTTACTTGAGCACCACATGCGCTGCCCTAAGCTCAAGGTAGCTTTCTGGCACACCCTGTCCCAGAGTTCTAATCACACTAAAAATTTCCTTGTCATGATATCTGAGCCGTGTCTTGGGGTCAGTGTATGCCGCAGGGAGTCCCGTAATATCGCAGTATCGCCGCTGCTGCGCCGGGTGTAGCGATGGTGCAGATTCAACATTTGTATAGGTCACAGCAGGTCCTGAAGAAAACATAGCACGTGCATTCTTCTCTAACACAAGCGTAGAGAGGTTTTGCGCCGCCTGGGCAATGTTCGATGTGCGTGGGTTCCCTTCAGCAGGAGTCACGCTTCCATCAGTACTGGCGGACGTGGTAGGCTGCAAAGGAGTTGTCATTCCAGAGTTGGCTTGGGTAGCCATAACCGAAGCCTCCTTTCTCGAACTATCAGAGATGAGCTGCTTGACGTTCTTGTTGCGTCGCTGGGATGGTCTCCAGGTGTGGCTGCGGAAAGGGCGCGGAACCGCTGCAATATCCAAACGATCGAGGAGCAGCTGGTGGTTTTCGCTTTCGGCGGGGGTAGGGGGAGCCATTTCGAATGTTTCGACGATTGAATAATTTGATTCAATGATTGAGAGTAGAATATGATGCGAGCTCGTTTCACCTTCGATCGAACGCTGGTAGTGAGGCAGCTTCGGAAGCTGGAAGCGAGAGTTCGGGTGTGCTTGGCGCAGAAGCTGGATTGAGGGACACAAGGAGAGAGTCCAACGCGGTGATTAATTCATAGAGTCTGTACCTAAGAACTTGATTTCTCAATTTTGACAAGTTTGAAAAGGTGAATATACTTTATTTTGAAGGAAATAGTCCTGGTTTTTTCCAACGACAGCCAGAGATACAGCCAGAGGGAGGCATTGCACGTGACCCAGCTATATAAAGTAATGTCAATCAATTGCGGACAACAAACACTGGCTTCCCGTCAACAACCACCTAATAGACCCAAAAATGGTAAACTCCCTGGTTCATTCTCAAGATACATATATTAACGCAGTGGAAATACAGGAAAGTCCACATGAGCATCAGCAGGCCCTCCTGCTCTCCCGAATAATCACCAATATTGTATGTGGTGCGAACGTCATTTCCTCAAGCCGGCAGCGCTGACAAGCACCAGGAAAAACTAAATGAAGCTGTTATGGTCATGAACAAGAGCCTGCAAGTATGTTGTGCCTCAACTACCACTACCGTGTTTTATCCAGGACTAACCAGTCCATAGGAGGTAAACATTCAGAATATGAACGTCGAGTTGGTGGCCCAGATGTTCAAGAACTACCAGTCGAATGTTCTCTTCCACCTCGAAGGTTGGCTATTTCGCTACTTCAAAGCATCCAGAGTTCCCAGCTAATTAGTTATCAGCCACGGAAAATTTGAAGGAGCCCTCTTGAAGATTTCGTTGGACATGTGATGATTGTTAACGGCTTTTCCTATTGAACGTTGAACACGAAACTTAGATACCACTTCATGAAATCCAGTATCATTTTTATCTTCTTTATAACCTTTTTCTATTGTACTATTTTATCATCTCCTTAATTTATAATTCAAAATCTGGCTCGAGAGTACCTCAGTATCACGAAATGATGGCTATACTAACGCCAGCCAGTCTTGGCGCCATACAAAAGGTGCCGGCGGTGGCCAGACTTTCCACCGCGCCGAAGCTGGGGATTGACCCAAACCTCTTCGTTCGTCTCCATTGTCGCCGCTGACCACCTCCGCGTTCGTTAAGGCGAATGCAGCAAGGTCGAAAATTCCATTTCCATCAAACCCTTCACCTATATTGCTAGATCCCCCTATGCGACAAACTACCATGCGCTGATCGCTCCCATCCGGAAGCTCCTTAGTTGCAGTTGATCTCACCCCAGCCGGCGCCATCAAATCACCACCATGACCATCACATCGGTGCAGTCGGTTCTCCCGACTCGCTTTGCGATGTCCTCGTCCGAGAATGGTGCCGCCAAACCTCCCCCTAAAATATACCATGCGCAGGATCCTCCTTTCAAAGGCTACCAGCCACCGCAGCCGGAGGGGTACGAGCAGAGCAGATCCAAGCCTGATACCAGCGCCATCGTGATTGACAATGGTGAGTTGACATACGTCGCTCTGTTCTATGGCTAAATATGGTCTTCTAATGCCATTTTTCTCTCGTCAAGGATCGAATCTCGTCAAAGCCGGATGGTCATTCGACCAAAGCCCCCGTTTCATTCTGCCGCCTGTGATGAGTCGCTACAGGGACCGAAAATTAAACAAAGCCTGTCAGTTTATCGGATACGATGCCTACGTCGATGCTACTACGCGTGGGCAGCTGCGCTATGCGTTCGATCCGGGCACCAGTGTGGTTGGCAACTGGGATGTGATGGAAGGAGTGCTTGACTATCTGTTTATCAAACTGGGAATTGATGGGGCCAATGGAGGAGTTGACAGACCTATTGTCATGACAGAACCTATTGCAAATCTCAATTACCCGAGAAAAAGTGAAATCTTCCCCAGAATATGATCCTGCCTACCTTTGCTAACAAACATCAGTGATGAACGAGATCCTGTTCGAGTGCTACTCCGCTCCCTCCGTCGCGTACGGTATCGATTCACTCTTCTCCTACCGATATAACCGTGGAACGGATGGCCTCATTGTTTCCTCGTCGCACACTTCGACGCACGTCATTCCCGTCCTCAATTCGAAAGCCCTGCTATCCAACTGTTCGCGCCTGAACTGGGGTGGTATGCATGCCTCGGAATACCTCTTAAAATTAATGCGACTGAAATACCCCACCTTCCCCGCGAGGATGACTGAAAACCAGATGGAGGATCTTGTGCACCGCCACTGTTATGTTTCCAAAGACTACGACCAAGAAATAAGCAGCTACTTAGATTGGACCGGTTTGGAAGACAGAGACCATGTGATCCAATACCCGTATACGGAGCACATTGTGCCTGAGAAGACAGAGGAAGAATTAGCCCGGATTGCAGAGAGGAAAAAGGAAAGTGGGCGCCGACTACAAGAGCAAGCCGCCAAGATGAGGCTTGAAAAGCTCATGAAGAAAGAGCAGGAATTAGAGTACTACAAAGACCTGCAGCGTGGTCTTCAGTCCGAGACGAAGAAAGAGATGAAGCGCATTCTGGATGCTGAAGATCTGAAGGACGAAGCACATCTCGAGAGGTTGATCCGGGACCTTGAGCGGTCCATCAAACGATCCAGGAACAGAGATCTAGGGGTTGAAGAAACCGAAGAACCTCCGGAGGAAATGTCGTTCCCTCTACTAGATGTGCCAGACGAGGAGTTAGACGAGGCTGGATTGAAGGAAAAGCGCCATCAGCGACTCATGAAATCCAATGTCGAGGCGAGGCAACGAGCAAAGGCAGAGAAAGAACGGGAAAAGGCCCGTCGCGAAGAAGAAGAGCGTCTAGATCGCGAAAAGCGAGAGAACGATTTTGAAGGCTGGGTTTCTGAGCGAAGAGCCATGCGCCAGGTAAGTCTGTTTCTACTGATCTGTAAACTAAAGCTAACGGAATTATTTCCAGAATATTCTCCAAAAAATCAAAGAGCGTGATAGGATGAAGGCGGATCTCGGAAATCGCAAGTCGCTCGCCAGTCAGATGCGTATGAAGACTCTCGCCAATCTTGCTGCAGACGGCCCCAAGAAGCGAAGGAGAGGTGGAGACGATGATAATTTCGGAGCCAATGACGAGGATTGGGGCGTTTACCGAACGGTAGCCACTGGAGATCAAAGTGACGAGGAGGAGGAGGAGGACCTTGGTGGAATGCTCGGTAACGTGGAGAAGGAGCTTCTCGAACACGACCCGGAATTCACGGAGAACCATACGCTCGCTGCGCAGTCCGACTGGACGAAGAGCTTGGTTCACGTATTCCTTCGTGGTCCCTGGCCCTTTGACCCAGAGAGCCAACGTGAGGCGCATCAAATCCACCTGAACGTGGAACGAATCCGGGTGCCTGAGGTCGTCTTCAAACCCTCCATCGCGGGTGTTGACCAGGCAGGATTGGTTGAAATTGCCGCCGACATTGTCAATCAAAGATTCTCGAGTCCGGAAGAACAGGTGAAGTTACTGCGGGATGTCTTCCTAACCGGTGGCAACTCTCTTTTCCAGAACTTCGACGAACGATTCCAGAAAGAGTTCCGAGCCTTCCTTCCTGTTAATACGAAGTTGGCTGTCCGTCGCGCCGCCGATCCAGTGTTAGATGCTTGGAAGGGAGCTGCTCAATGGGCCTCGGGGGCGGAGTTGGCCAAATCCTCCATTTCACGAGCAGAGTATCTCGAGAAGGGCAGTGAATATCTCAAAGTAAGTCCAACTTTTACATTTGATTTGGGTGATATTTTCTAACACGACCAACAGGAGCACAGTCTGGGCAATGTCACTTCGTGGTAATTAGCTGCCAGCTGCAAGGATACGACTAGACTAATGTCGACTACAAAGTACGGCGGTAGGACTCGGGAGTCGGGCGTATAAATTGGTCGTTATTTGGATGAGATTTATGGCTTCTACAGAGTCATCAAGGATCGCAAAACATTAACTATCTGTACTACATTATTCATCAGAGACTATCAGGTAGCAAGCATCCATATTGAATTCCTCGGTTTACATTGGCAGTTTGTATAATTCTTCCTTACCTCTATACTGGTTTAATAGTTAATAATTTAAATTATTCCCAGCAAGCACATGATAATCTCTCATGAGTTCATTGCGTCTTAAAGACTCCGTTTAAAAACAGAAAGTAGCCCCGACGTCATCTACCCCCGGGTGCATATCGTTGGATGCACTGCAGAGTCAGCCAGGCTCGAATCCATCAAGCTATGCCTTCAGCCTTGTGGGTCTGGACTAACTACTACTGTGTAATACGACCCTCCTAGTTGATGTCTATGATAATGATGATGACAGTGATAATCCCTAGAGCTCTGTTAGTTGGTACTCAGCGAGCAGACTAAGAATCAATCATCCAAACTAACCTCTGGCTATTGAGTACAGGATTGCAAGATCAATTGTCCTGCCCTACTCACCGATGAAGAAGCGTCCGGCAAGCACGGATCCAAGTCGTTAGTTACTATTCAAACTAAAGCCCGAAAGAGGAAAATAGAGAAAGCTACCCGAGTGAGTAAGTCCACAGGGTGGGGGAAGTGGCACGATTCTCCTGAATATGATTTGTCTGTTGTTCTGCACTTTCGGGCAACATAAGCTTAGGTCAGGAATGAGTGAGGATGTGACGGGATGTGAGGAGGATCCACGCCGCTAAAAAGAAAAGAAAAGGAAAGGAAAAATGTGGGATACCAACTCTTTATCGTCAGGGCTCGGATCTCCGGTTTCTCCTCCTTCTATGTGGCGAGACCAGTATCCAAGTTTACCAAGGGATTTCCTGGTCGACTACTCTGTCTAGCAGAGAGAATCCCTATGCGGGGTACATGTAGAACATCGAGTCCAGGGAAGAAAAAAGAAAGAGGAAATGCTCAGGGTTCTAGATGTATGCTAAGAGTCTAAGAAATGGATCAGGTTGGATCAGTTAGGGCTTCAGATCCTAGTAGAACTTGACACCTTCTCGGCCACAGGGCTCCCTTTCGTCAAACTAGTGAGCTAAGGGTCCCCTTCTCCTCATGCTGACCTTTCCGTTCTTATCCAGGCCATTCTCTTGTTTGTTTGGGCGGGTTTTTTTTCTTGATTGTTGATAATTCCGCCTGCTCCCGACTCCAGGTCACGCAACATGCCCTCTTGCTCCAACGATGGGCCGACGATCCGGGATCCCTTGCTGTCCGCTGGATGCCGTCTGGACTTTGTTGTCAACTTTCCGATTGAGTAATTAAGTCTCGTTCGATCTTTCGTTGCAGGTCGCCTCTGCTCTAGACCAGCAGGAACTTGCAGCCATGCATAGCAACCCCTCATTGAGAAAAACATTTTGGTGTAGCAGGTCACACAATGCTCAACACAATGCTATCATCCACTGGCAAAAGAGATATCCTTGGGATATGGCTCGTACGGCTTGTCGCTCACCAGCTCAGGAATATGCCATCTCGAATGATGCAGACCCTGCTGCGTAGTATAGTTCTCAGGGATTGTTATGACGCATCCGTGATCCGGGGAAGCCAGCGCCACCACTCCTGTACCCATTCACAGTCTCCCTTTCCACTTGAACTGATTATTTTTTTTCTCTTCCTTGGGGCTTTCGACTAGCGTGAAGTCGCATAGACCAAAGGGATGTAGTCAATTCTTATTCGCCGTGGGTCTGCTGCATCAGCTGCCACGGTCAAAATACTATGACGCAAAGCCAGACCATCTATCTGTAGGTTGATCTGGATTGACTGATGCCAATGCAGTCAATTGCCCTTGTTTACTGCTGCTCGATGAATATAAAGACCTGCCGTGGTCTCCTCTCCATGGTAGCTGTCTTTCCCATCTATCCAGACTTCAAAGAACTTCCCCTCAAGCAAGAACTTTTCAATTCCTTTCCCCTTATATTCAATCTTGAATACTTCCAAGATGGTGTCCAACACTCTTGTTCGCTTTCTTCTGCTCGTGACTCGAGCGCTGCAATGGTCTAGCGCTGTTATTGTGATGGGACTCACCTCCTACTTCATCCACAGGGGACCTCGTGGTCAGCACATCACCTACCAGGAAATCATTGTATGAAGCGCTTCGGCTTCCCAGTCTTTTCTTGCCCTTCACTACTGACACAATCCATCAGGCTGTCATTTCTGTTGTCTTCTTCTTGCCAGCTTTCGTCTCGCCCTTTATGCCCAATGCTCTCAGCCGCTTTGTGCTGATCATTGACGTCGTCTTCTCTTATCTGTATATCAACCCAACCATCCGCCAAGTTCTCAAGATTTATATAGACTGACTATTCGGTTCCCATCAGGTGGCTTACTTCCTTCATCTTCGCTGCTCAGGACTACAACTGGCACAACTGCTACTGGGACGCTCCAGCATCCATGGGCTGCTCCAAGAAGAAGGCCAATGAAGCATTCATCTTCCTGGCTTTGTAAGTTGCACCATTCACTCACTTGGTTCTTTCCTGACCTTGGGCCTAACATGACCTAGCATCTTCACTTTCTTCGGCATGTTCCTCGAAGTGTTTTCTCTCTGGTCCCACAACCAAAGCAACAACACCTCCCCTGCCATGGAGAAGAACGAACACGGTGCTGCCCCTGCACCTCTCGACGGACCCTCCACCGTCGCCCCTTAGATGCCCCAAAGAATTCTTCCAGCCAAGTACAACAATTCTTGCGGGCCAGTCATGCGTCGAAGATGAGTTTATGATAACTTGATGTATACTATTTTTTTTTTTTTTTTCGTCATACATGTATTCTTCTTGTTCGTCGGCAGCCAGGTAATATTGAACTGGATAACTGTACCGGAGCAATCCACGAAACCTGTTGATGAATGATGTGTTTAACGATACGGAGAATTTTTGAGATTAGTGATATTTAATAATAATGCTCTTGTGTCTCTATACTATGCTAATTACTTACTGGTGCTATGTAGACTTCCTGAAGTTAAAAGACTATGGCTATTCATCAAGTCAACAGACCGCGATTTGCTTGCCTTGATTCTAGCCTGTAGTTTACATATATCACTTTCAATAACTTAATTCTTATAGTTTATTGAATAATAGGTAACCTTTAGATATTCAACTGTATATTCACTATCTATTACACTCTACTCTTGACTTGCAGTAAGCAATATCCTACTAATCTCTATATTCACTATTATCCAGATTCCTGTGTTAGTTCCAATTCACACATGATTACATGGACTTATTCTCTACTTGCCTATATAATACACCCACTTCCCTGGTCTGAAGCTGTCCATTATCTTTTTCTTTCTCTTTTAGTTGCTGATATCTTTTCAGAGTCTATAATCAAGTACAAGATTCACGTGCGAGCTACCCTTTGCACCCCTACACCATACATTGCTAGTATATCGGAACGCCCATTTCTACTATGGATATACTGCTAAAATTCTCGAAGGATGCTTCCAAAAAACGTGGAGATCATCAGAAAGATTCCAAGGAGTCTAGAATCCGATGGCATGTTGTTGCGCTCACATCAAAGCGAGGAATAATTTCTACCGTCCGCTCTCAATCGCCTATACTAGCCATACCTCGATAGCTTTACCCGTACTACTACTGCTACCTAGAGAGTATGGCTCTCTTCGGACACGACGGGTTTCCGAGGTCTGCATTTCCTACGTTGCCTAAACTATTAGGCTTTTTACAGACTCCTCTATATCTCGCGGCGGAGGAGGAATCCGCCTGATACAGGAACGGCGCTTGTCCAAGATGTTTTTCGCGAGTTTGACGTATATCTTCACCACCAGAGAGAGATCGAGGGACGTCCCAGCTATGGGTGGCCACGGTCGATGTACTACAGAATTGCGCAGCAGTTGGCCAGACAAGACCCTGCGTACTATCTATGGTACGTTCTCTTGCGGCCAGATCACTGCTGGGCGGCTAATCAGCTACCCCTATTACGCCAAGTACGCACGACATGGCGATTCTACATGGTTTCGTCACATCGATATCAACATTTCGCAAGCGCTCGCGCGGGGCAGAGGCATGGCCACTATCCAGAGATCGATCTCGTTGGATGAGGAGGATACAGATAACTGCACTCACTCAGCTGCTCCGCGGAATGCAGAAGCATTCTTGCGGAACGGGAGTCGCCGAATAAGGGAACGGGGTCAGACAGGATCTCATGCACGTAAACTGCTACACCACCTAGTTGGGCTAAATCAAGCATACCATATCTAATGCGTGCAACTCGAACAAGGCCCCGATATTCTTCTCCACGTGGGGCATCACACTCGCCAGCAAGGTGTGAACAATAAATATACATTCAACACCCTACACTTATTAGATACCTCAGTGCCAAAAAGGGAGGATTAGGTGACGGGCATCCATTTCATGAGTTGCTTTCTTAGGAGTCAGTCACCGTACCCATTTATTTAAACACCCAGCTGATGTTTAATGACACCGTACGGGTACCTGGATATTGGGGCGGGGCCTGTGCAGGGTGCAAGTGGAACGAATACGCCCGTCTCCCACGTCTTCCACAATGGTTCGCCGTCAGCTGCATTCAAATACCATCTGCCCCAAATCTTTCTGGTGCCTGTCTTGCTTCTGCCGCTCCAGGCCGGTAGGAATTGATTGTGTCCTGGGCGCTGTTGCGATGATTTGCAAAGGCTGTTCACGCAACAACAAATCCTATAATCCTATATGTTTAGCTGTTGTTTTGTTCAGTATAATATTAAAGAACCATAGCCAGCAGTGATAGTAATACTATATTATACTAACACTGGGAGCTATCCATTACACATGGCCTGAATATACTTTTAGGGAGAACTGGGGGAGAATATCTTGTGCTTTTCAAATGTAAGAAAGGAGAAAGCCCATACGATCTATATAAGAGTACAGTTTGTATCACCTAATTTAAAGATAATATTTAACTTACATATATAGTTCAGGTAGCATGGTATTACAAGCAGAAATCTCCTACTAGTAGAACGGCAGTGGCTAGGATCAAAATATCATTGCTTCTCTCAGGACAAAGCGCCTCCCCTTCCTCGCGTGGGATTTGGCAGTCCTTACACCTGAGATGCATTACATGACCTCCTCTTTGTTGCCTTCTCCTTCTTCTTCTTCTTCTTACCCTAAATAGGCAGAACTTATCTGCAGTTTCGGATATCTTTGTATAGCATTTTCCTTTTCGTTTTTTCCGTTGCAACGAGGAAAACAGTCTGATTAAACTATATATGCTGAGAGCGCCGAATAAGCAACTAAACTACCCATATAAACGATCGAAGTAAATCATAAAGTGATGTCAAAACATCGCCCTACAACTCTGCTAAGAAGCTGTCCTCCACCTTGCCCATTGGGTCAAGGTACTAGCCCTAGATACAAATTGTATGTCCATGGAAATTAGCTACCTCCTACATAGTAGTTCCAGGCAAGACAATAATCCCATCGTTGATGCTACTCTCTCTGTGCTTGTACCCATAGCCATTGGATAGACAAAGTAGTGATAGAATGTCAAGATAGAACAAAACAGTGCCTAGGTTGTTGGACGATGGCTTTTTTTCCTACTGTATTATTCTACGTCTAGTTTATGTGGTCAAATATCCCGCGCCATTTTCCATCAAGGTCCCATAACTCAGTTGGTTAGAGTGTGGTGCTAATAACGCCAAAGTCGAGGGTTCGACCCCCTCTGGGACCACGTTTCTTTTTTGTTTTTTTTTTTTATTTTCTTTTGCTTCGGTTTGCCTCTCCATTTGGCTGGCTCGATATTCAACCACTCGGTGTATCAAGGGCGTGGAATGGCGCTGGAGCTCCTCAAGTGCTAAATGTATGACATGCCATTGTTACTACCCTTGTTACTACTGGTTAATTTGGGCGTAGAATTAATTCATACCATACGTTCCAGTTTATCTTGCGTTTCTAATTGGGGTCTCTACCTTTATATATCATATCCTAGCCCCATCAAGGCCAATATTTGTACACTTTTCTGGACGAATGTGCTGTTTCGGAGACAGATATCGGAAGTATAGCTAAGGTCTTCTCTTCTTGGTGTATGTGCCTAACTTTGGGGCACGTTTGTTCCGTTCGTGGTTCCGAGTTTCGTAGTTCAGCCAATGTCAACAGATGCTTCAGTGGGTTGAGTTGAAAGTGGTCGCAGGAATGACGAGTTCATCGACGCTGGCTTGATAGTGGTTTTGTGGTGAGCGGAGGGCCCGGAAATATATATTGATGGAATAACTCATGAGCAGACAGACTATATGATGTATCGCAACAGCTAAACCGCACCCCATAGACGAGCCATCTACCTAAATTCCCTAGTAAAACCGAATATAGATTTTGCTCAATCCCCAGATGGTAAAACCCAGATAGGCATATATATTATTTGTCAATCCCCATCAACTAACTAACCAACTATATGGTTTCTACTGTAAGCGTCTCGCTGGCGAGGCGCTTGGGTATGGGTAGTGTTGGTAAAGGAAGCAAAGCTACACGGAATACAAGGGTAGTAGGAAGGTATTAGAAGTAATAAAACAAAGTGCTTGCCTCTTAGTACTTTAGGGGTTATTATATTACTATTTATATTACCTAGTTAAGTTACTAGTATAGTATAGGTAACTTAAATATTACTATTCTCCTAATTATTCTTAGTTACTAGGTATATAGTTTAGCATATAGTTTAGCATATAATTATATATTATATAGTTATTATAATAATTATTTTTTTTTTCCTTAGTAATATATCTGCGCGCTATATATACTATACCTAATCTAGCTTAGTATTCTATTAAGGAGGAGCTAGTCCTAGTTAGTATAATATAACCTACTTTTTTATTTAATACTAGAGATAATAATAGTATATATAATATTATTTTTATTAATTAAGCTTTATTAAATAAGATATAAATAATATTATATTTTACTTTAAATAAGATAATAAATAGGAATAAATAGTTTACTAGATATATTAGTAGTAGATAAAGATATTATTATAGTATAAATATTATAAGGGAATACTCTTTTATATATACTTTTTTTAGTTTAATTTATATTCTAAAAAATCCCTTTTAATAGGTTAATATATTATATTAAGTAGATTATTATTACTTAAGTATTATAATAATAATTAATTATATTATAAATCTTATAATTCCTTTAAAGTATTCTTTATTTAGTATTATACTAGCTATATCTTTATAAAAAAAAATTTATTTAACTATTATTATTTCTTTCTTTATAAATACCTTTATTTTAGTAATATAAATTTATTATACTAATTATTTATAAGCTCCTATAGTAAATCCTTCTATATCTATATTAATTATAATACCTATAACTTCTATTATTACTAGTATATTTCTTATAATTCCTATTATTATTATTTTATTATCTAGCAGGACTATATCCCCCTTATTCTTTATAACTATTTCTAGTATTATAGTAACTCCTATTATCTCTCCTTTTACTTCTTCTATTATAGTAACTTTAGCTACTCCTATTACTATTACTATACTAGCTCCTGTTATTACACTAGCTCCTGTTATTCCTGCTATTACTATGGCTCTAGCTACTCTAACTATTCTAGTTACCTCTACTAGCCTAGCTACTATTACATGGACACTATATTACTTATATTATATTAAATCTTAATAGTATATAGATAATAGTCCTATAGAAGCCTGTTCTTATATATACTTAAATTTAAGATAGTAATATATTTAATATACTTGCTTATATAAAAAGTATTTCCCTATTATCCTGCCTATATAAGTTAATCTTAGAGAAATTTAAGTAATATTTAGTAAGGTAATAAATATAGTAGCCTGTACCTAATAAACCTATATTATTAAGATTTTTATTTATTATCTTAAGACTAAAAACTAGATAAAGAGATTACTTTAATTTATTAATTATAATATATTTTACCTACTTAATATATAGTATATTAGAGGTAGTATAATAAAATTAGAGAATAATAATAAGAAGGTTTAGAATAATTATAATAATTAAGAATTTACTAATATTATAATATAAATATTTTATTATTTTTATTTTTATATAATAAAATTAAATTATTTTTTTAAGATTCCTTAATACCTATAGTATATCTTTATTAAATCTTAAAATCTAATAAGAAAAAGAGAAAGAATAATACTATTAATATATTTTTATAATTTTTTTAATTTTTTAATCTTATTAATTTATTATTTTTATATTTTATTATTTTATAATATTTTACTAGTATCTTACTTATATCTTATTTATATAGTAAAACTTATTTAGAATATTTTATATATTTTTTAAGTCTTTTACTAATTACTAAATATTTTTATATATTAGTTATTCTTTTTATTTAACTAGGTATTAGTCTTTATTATATAACTTTTATTATATAATAATCTATTCTACCTTCTATTCTTCCTTATTATTAATAATAACTAGCTAGAATAGTACTAGTAAGTTACTATCTCTTATATTTTATTCCTTAAGGAATAATATATAAAAGACTAGGTAGATTTTTCTATATAATTTAGGTAATTATAAATAGTATACTTATTAATTTATTATCTTAATTATTTTAAATAGCCCTTTATATTTAGTATCTAGCTTCTTACTAGGCCTCTATATATAGATATTTTTTATAAATAGTAGTACTTATTAATCTATATAATATTTAATTAGGTAATATCTTTTATTATAGTTCCTTACTTATTATTTAGTAGTATAATATAGGCTCTTTTCTAGCTAATAATATTTTACTTATAATTAGTTAAATTATTCTTCTATTATTATAATTATACTAGAGTCTCTAATATTAGTAAGCTTAAGTAATACTAGCTAGTAACTATATTATATTTTATAAGGGGATATTTCTAATAATATATTTTTTATATTATTATATATAAATTCTACCATGCCTAGCTAGTCTACTTAATTAATTTATTAGTAACTAATATAGGTCCTTAAATAAGTCTTTAATATCTAGTTTTAATATTCTATTTAGCTATCTATTTATAGGTAGAATATAGTACTTAATTATTCTTTAACTTAAAGCCCTTAGTATAGCTAGATCTAATATTTACTAGTAAAGAACAAGCTATAATTACTTACCAGGCTTTTTAATATTCTTATTTTAAGTATAATCTTTTCTATAAATATATTAGTTAGCTCTTTAGTATTAATATTCCCTATTATTAGAAAATATTTAACTTCCTTAGTATATTAATCTATAATTACTA